TTCTCCCAGCATCTAGGGAGTTGCCCCCAAAATCCAGCTCAGACCTGAACCCAGCCAATTAAATCATTATTAATTATGAATGAATTAATAAATTAATGGATATGCAGCTTGATGACAAAACAGACTTCTAATTAGTTCAGCGAAGTATGAAAAACCAATTACACACACATTAAAACATAAACCTCCATAATTAAAATACAAAAGAAAACAATCCCCTAATAGCACTGGAATATGAACATCGCTGCTTTAAATAAGCAATAAAACAATCCCATTAAAGCAAACACAGCAATTAAAACAGGAGGCTCAGGTTGAGAGATCAAGGGAACATTTGGGTAAACAGCTGCATCTTCAAAAGCCAGTGGAATGTTAATTAATTCCCTAGCTAGTCTACAGCACTGTTTCCCAACCTTTTTCCTACTGTAGCCTCCTTCCGACCTTGTTTCCTTCCTGTGCCCCCCATGGGCATAGCCAGGGGGGCAACTGCCCCCCCAATAAGTAAAAATCAATACAAATCTGAGGTTCTGCCCTCCCTAACAAAAGCCTGGCAAAAATCCTGACTACATCCATGCCCCTTTCTCCTGCTGGTAGAAAGGTTATTTAAATGTTTTGTATGTAAGTAGAAAATGTTTTATTTATAATTTTTATAATTTATACAAAATACAATTACATAAAATGACAGGGACCTAATGAAATGCTATAACATCCCTGAGAGATGGCCATCCAACCTCTGCGAAAAAACATCCAAGGAAGGAGAGTCCAGAACCTTCCGAGGGAGATCCATCTTCCATGTATTATAAAAAGTAAACAACACTTATTTGTCATCAGTTATTTGACACAGAGGGAGAAACCTACAGATACAGTCCCAAAGGTACATGGGGAGTTCTGTATATATGGGAGAAATTTAAAAAGCAAGTGGTCCTCATTGACTAGGTGCAAAAAGTTCTTGTCATCTGGAGGAGCCCTGGCTGCCTAGATAAAACACTATAGCCCCACACACCCTCACCTGGGAGTAAGGCCCACTGAACTCAGTGTGGCTTTCTTTTGAGTAGACACTTAAGTTATTTACTAGATGCAAGTCAGCAGCACCAGATGACCCCGCTCGGCTAGCGCTGGGTGGGTTTCACCCAACGCCTTGCAGAGCTGGGCTGACGCTTATGGGCCCTGCTCCCCTCAGCAACATCCAAAGGCCCTGATCTGCTAGGCGCTGGGGTAGATCGCACCCAGCACCTTGCAGAGTCAGGCCTTGCTTACCCAGTCTTAGTATTGCATCCTTAATGGTTTTTTAACCATCTTCACTGCAAAGCCCTGTGGCACCTTCTCCTCATTCTTGAGAAGTCTCTCTCCATCTGGTTTAATGTACTTTGATGTTTTAACAGGGTTGTTTTTGATGAGCCGAAGCCAAGTTTATAGCCGTATGAAAACGGTTACCACAGAAAGAATTACCTGCCTACCCCACACATTACAATCCTTAATTCAAGTAATATTGATCTTTGTGTCATGTGACCAGACATTGTGCAAATTTATGGGCCTGCAGAAAAATAAGAATTAGGTTGGCTAAGCATAAAATCAAGAGCTGCGAATATATAGGCATAGCTGTCAACTTTCCTCTTTTTTAACGGAAAATTCCCTTATTCCGAATAGGATTTCTCGCAAGAAAAGGGAAAAGTTGACAGCTATGTATATAGGATTGTGGTGAACCCAGCCCCATCTCACCAACTACATAGCGCAGTCAGTCTAAGAGATAGCAACAGAGATTATGTGGGTTTGCCACATTCATTTATTTCCCTACCTAGCACATATTGCAACTAGCTTCATTGTATGGTAGTATATAAGGGAGAGAGCATGTCAGAAAGGAATGCCAATATCCTGCAGTCACATATCATTAGTGAGCAATTGCTGCAACTTCTTCCATGTTTGTTTAACATCTCCTTCTGAGGTCTGTTACTCTTGGCACTGCCAGCTATTGTGTTATCTAAGTAATGCGAAATGAACTATGTACCAATGTGAAGGATACTGGGCAAGATACAAACTTAAAACACTTTTATATCTCATTTATTTCAATGTCAGTGTTAATGCCGGAATTTAACTGAAAACAATGGGAATTGCTGTCTTATTTTAAGGCAGTATACTCAGAAGATATGCCTTACTGGGACATACTTTGCAGTGAGTGCTTATAGCTGCAGTGTTTAAAGTGATTAACTATGACTGATTAGTGAACATTGTTTATTTCTCCTCTAGTTTCCGAGTAGAATACTCAACTGCCTTTTTTTTTTTAACCTTTGATACATATCCCTTTAGGGTCTTAACATTTAACTGGAAAGAGGAAGTGTGTTGATAAGAAATATCTGTTAAGGAAGGAATGGCAACTCCTACATGATTTAAATCTCTCTTTTTCTTTTTCTGTCAATTAGCAAACTTCCCAAATCACAGTTCACAGAGTTCAGGTTAGGTGGGGTAAAAGCTATGAGGATTAAGCAATTTCGAAACCAGTTTAAATTTGTAGTGCAAATGCACTCCTTTCCGTCTCTTTGGCTCCACTGTCCATTGGAAACTAAAGAAATCACATATTAATATTAATGAATACATCTGCATCCCACCTTACCTTCAAGGAGTTTCCAGGCAGCATACTTGGATCTTCCCTCTTCCATTTTATCCTCACAGCAACCCTGTGAAGTATGTTAGTCTGGGAGATAATGACTATCCCAAAGTCAGCCAGTAAACTCCATGGTTGAGTGCAGAACCTGGCAATCCTTCAAGGGTGTGGAACCTCAAGCCTGGAGGACAAATGTGGCCCTCCCGGTTTCCTTGTGTGGCCCTTGGGACTTTCCCCATGTCACACACCCCACACTGGCCTTGTCTCACACCTTCCCTGAAATTTTTTTTCCTGGCTGGAATATGAACCTGAACCTCTTCCAAGTCTGAATGGAGGATAGAGAGGCAAGTGTAAAGAAACTAGCCTACTGTATAAAGAGACAATCTCCATTCACTTCTCTACCCACAACTGCTTCTGGCCCCATCGACCTCTAGCATGTGGCCCTCAGAAGACTGCCCAGAATGGATTGCTGTCCTCAGGCTGGAGAAAGGTTGCTCACCCCCAGGTCTCCTGGGTCCCAGCCCAACACTCCAACCACTGCTACACCATGCTGCCACAATCTGTGGGCAGGATTCCTGCGTTGCAGTGGGTTGGACTAGATGACCCTTGGGGTCCCTTCAAACTCTATGAATCTATGATAATCTACTCCTCTGAATGCAGCCCTTTCTTCACTTTTTGTTCACTAAACATGGTGTGCTTCAAATTTCTCTACATTGCTTCTCTCATTCTCTCTCTCTCTCTCTTTTAACGTTCTAAGTATTTTTCATGGCATGTTATACACAAATCATGTTGGGATTACTCTGCACCATACATGGGGTTTAACATCAATCATCTGCAACAAATTCCGTGCATTTCACGTAGCCCTTCAGTCACTTGTTTCCTTTCCAAGAAGTTTGAAAAACACCCAGCAAAGAGCCATTCCAGCACTTAATCTTCCCCGTCTCCCTTCCCTCCAGCCTCGCATGAGACTTACGTCTCTCATACCGCGCGAGGTCAAGGAAACATTACTCAGCTTAAACCTTTCAACTCGCAAACAAACAGCTTAATCAGCGGTTCGTGGGATTTGCACACACACACACAGTAGGTATAACGTCTGCAACAAAGGAACGAGGAACAAGGAAGCAGCTCTAGAAGTGGAGAAAAGGAACATGTCGAAGACTTTGCCACAAAGTCTTTCTCCCACAAACAGTTCTATAGCCAGGGGTTCCACCGACTGCAATGAATGAAAGCTTTGTGCTGAAACTGAACTTTTATGGGGAGTTTTGGCAAGAGCTGCCTATTTCATTTCATTTCGAACCAAGTTTTGATTAATACAGCATCCATTGTGTTTGTCGTGACAATTATTTTCAGCAAGAAGCGGCTCTGCTTGGACTGCTCGGATTTCATACGGGTGAGGGATGTTTGGGGAGAGTGTGTGCTTTGTTCAAGGAAGAACTACACATCTTAGGATGCTAAATTATGCCCCTCTTTGATTTGCAACCTGTCTTTCCTAGTTGTCAGCGTCCTGGCACAACCTCAGAAGGGAATGGATTCAGCTCAGTTGTGGCACCTTCCAGCAGATCCACATCACAGGGATCTGCGACTCATCAGATAAGATGGCTCAGAATTATGTTCGTTTGGACTAGGATTCATGTGGATAAGGATTCATGTTGCCTCAAAGGGGCACACTGTCCTATCATGGCCCCATTCTGACAGCAAATGAATTGTTGGCACCCCTAATTTGACAGTACAGTGGTACCTCGGGTTAAGTACTTAATTCATTCCGGAGGTCCGTTCTTAACCTGAAACTGTTCTTAACCTGAAGCACCACTTTAGCTAATGGGGCCTCCTGCTGCTGCTACGCCACCGCTACACGATTTCTGTTCTCATCCTGAAGCAAAGTTCTTAACCTGAAGCACTATTTCTGGGTTAGCGGAGTCTGTAACCTGAAGCGTATGTAACCTGAAGCATATGTAACCCGAGGTACCACTGTACAGCAATAAATAAGACAGCAGAACAGGTGCAAGGGGTAACTGGAGCCTCAATAATACATACATGTGTCCTCGCCCCGGGATCAATGGAAGACATGGCTATATGAGCCACCTCCAGTAGCATGGATGTAATGTACTGCACATAATATATGACAAAACCTACCAAGATTTCAGTACGGTGGTACCTCAGGTTAAGTACTTAATTCGTTCCAGAGGTCCGTACTTAACCTGAAACTGGACTTAACCTGAAGCACCACTTTAGCTAATGGGGCCTCCTGCTGCCGCCGCGCTGCCGGAGCACGATTTCTGTTCTCATCCTGAAGCAAAGTTCTTAACCTGAAGCACTATTTCTGGGTTAGCGGAGTCTGTAACCTGAAGCGTATGTAAACTGAGGTACCACTGTATGTGCTACAAATTACAAAAAGACAAAGGAACTTGACATTAGATTTTATTTGCAGCGGAATAAAACCATATTGCATTTCTACATTACAGTTTCAATTTTTCATAAATTATTTTGCAACAGACATTTTCCTTGTATAAAATATACTTTCTGTATAAAAGCCAATTTATCACAATTCAGCTTTGTGATTTTGCCAGGTATTTGGAAATCAAACGCTATTCTCAAATCCCAGTGTTACAAAAAACAGCAGGGGGCAAGGAACAATTTATCTTGCAATTCATGGGAAGATGTCTACCTGGACCATAGGATAGGGTGGGTTTCCTCCTCTGAGGGCAAAGAGAGAAGCTTGCCTTCACATAGCGAGGCCCAACCCCATATATCCTGTTACCCATTACCAAAGAAACTTTCACAACCCTTGCCTTCCCTGAAATCACAACGCCAATGCTGATAGAAACTAACAGGGAGTATGTGTTGGGGACAGATCTGGGGAAAGCATGAATCCCAAGGATCCCAAGTCTTCCCCAAAAAACAATTCAGGAAGGAAACTACGCCAGCAGCAAAGCTCGTATGGCAGAATTCAGTAAATCCAATCAAAATGTAAGAGGACAGAGGAGCTCAAGAGTCAAGAGTGCTACTCTACTTTCACTTCCCCACTGCCAGTGCAAAACCAGCAAAGTACTGGATGTGGGAGGGGATTGATTAGTCTTAATTTCTCCCTCCTCCACTTTTATGGCTGCAGTATTACAAGGTTAAAAAAATGAAATCCAGCCAGAATGCAACATTTCCCCATTTCATTCATTTCATTTGTTTTCCTTTTTCCGCTTGCAATCAGTGGAGCCTAAAAGTGTTCGACTTTTGTGGCATTGTATCAACAGCACACAGCAGACTGGTAAGATTTCTCAATGCAACAGCAGTTCCGGTGTATGGCAAGCTGTGTCTTGCAACAATGCAGGCTGCTTTTCTTTTAAAACAAGAAAACGATAGCAGCTCAGTGCCATGTGTGGGTCTAGACACGTACATCTTGGGATGAGAATAGTTACTTTTTGAAATGAGAAATGTCATTAACCAGCTGACTGTCCCAAAGCTATTTTGTCTTTTTACATATTCTGATGTATTATTAAGTACACTCTCTCTCTCTCTCTCTCTCTCTCTCTCTCTCTGTCTCTGTCTCTCTCTCTCTCTCACACACACACACACACTCACACATACGTATAGTCACCTCTCATTTCTGCACCTTTTGAAACCAGCACGCATTTTGTCAATATCTAAAGCAGAGGGAAAGGTTGGACCCTTTGGTAGCTAAATCACACTGTTGCAAGCTTTAAGTCATGATTTCTAGAAGAAATACTCTCCTTAACATTTCAAATAAAGCTTACCCGAATTTTTTAAAAAAGCGTATTTTCCTTAGAAATGATAACTGAAAGCTTGCAGCAATGCAATTTCAACCAAATAAGAATAAAATAACACACTGACTGTGCAGCAGTCTTCTGTGGTATTTAAGCATGAATGGCATCAGGCCCCCACAACTAGGGGTGGCAGAGAAATTTGATCCAGTTTGCCTTTATAGGCAAACCTAATTCTCGCTTTCCAAAACAATATGTGAACTAAAACTCAGCCATCCTTTGAAATTCACATTTCTCTAATTTTTTTCAGTGCAGTTCACCTGTCAAGTAATGATTGGTGTGGGTGCATGCACTAGGGTGCATAGAAAAGCATGTATTTGTAAAAATAACAAACGAAAATGCATTATACTGAGGGAAATTGCTTTATAAAACTAAGCATATTGGGAGAAATTCGCACTAAAGGGCTGGTGAATTTTCATGAAGACTAAAAATAAAATTCACAAGAAAATTCACAAACTGATTAACTGAAATGTGGGAAACTGAAGATCGGAAAAATGAGAAACTGAAATTTTCAGAGTAGCCCACAGCGCATAACCCAACAGCAGAACACAGACCAAGAGGTATATCTTGTTGGCAACCTAGGACAAGAGAAACTGGACGTCAAGTCCCTGGCAGACCGTAGTATGTGACGGGTGGCTCACGCTTGACTCTACAGACTTGTGGTAAGTGTTGCTGTGTTTTACAGTGTATTTCTGTTTCAACTTCATATAGTAGTCTGAAGAACACATTCTGTGATACAACAAAACAGCTTCATTTCTGCTGTTCTAATACAGAGTTCTTACTGAACCTGTTTCAAGCTAAATCAGTTCTTATTTTGTGCAACTCGAGACAGAATTTTGGCCCAGGCTTGGCAATATACAAGAGGATATATTGCTCTAGACTAAGGCATAAACATAAAGATAATGCTGCAGACTGGCCGACGGCCATGCAGATTTGCTATACGGATGAGAGGTGAAGCATGTATTTTTTAACTACGTTCAGCATTTGTAACGAAAAACACACAAAGCAGTGAACGCTCACGACAGCACATGCCCTATGCCATCCATTTCATCTGCTGAAGAGAATTGTGGCTTCCTTGCTCACAGACCTAAACAAATACCTTTCAAAATCACCATAACACGGTTTTGTCTTCCAATTGTGCCTTCTGACTGTGCCAAGGTCAGAAGGATGTGGTAGAGATTAGCACCAGGCCCATTATTTTGGTGGGGGAGGAGAATATCCACATCTTTTTGAAAGCAAGTAGGCTCAGTATACGAGAGAGGGTGCAAAACTGCTGATATCATGTTTGATTTTTTAAAATTGTTGTTGCATAGAAGCATTTGCACACATTCCCCAGCTGATTGCAAAAGTAACAAAATGGACACTTTTCTGAAAATAGAGACTCTCGAGTCAAAAACTGCATATTTTACCCATGAAACCCTAAGTCTACAAATGTGCATAGAAGGATACAAAGTATTATGTGATTGATAAGATATTTATGGTTTGGCTGTCACACCAAACCATAGCTTGGCAATACTTGAAAAAGCCCTGTGTTTGCACACGCCCTTCTCCCCCGTGTGCTCCACTTGATCCGTAACTTCCTGGTCTGGGGCAAACCATAACTTGCCATTACATCCAAACCAGCAAACTATGGCAGGTACAAACCCTGCAAGTCACGTTAGATATCAAGGCTCCATCTTTGTTCCAACATCTGTTGACAAGGCAAAAGCCTGGCCAATCTGGAAGCTTCACAGTGCTTATCAGAATGTTGCACTAATTCCCTGCTGTGATTTAGGGTAGCTCTAAGACCCCAAAATACACCCTCCTTGCAGTTCACCAGTTAAGCTAGCCTTTCTCAACCTGTGGGTCCCCAGATGTTGTTGAACTACAACTCCCATCACCCCTAGCTAGCAAGGCCAGAGCTCAGGGGTGATGGGAGTTGTAGTCCAACAAAATCTGGGGGCCCACAGGTTGAGAACTGCTGAGTTAAGCCCTAACCTCAGCCTCTAAACTACCTTTGCCTTTAGTACACTTCTGTCCCCAGCTATTTCTACAGGGATGTGGCCCTCTGTTAAGTCTTGGCGGGTAGCAAGAGGGAAAGGGATTGAGAGAAGGGGGGCAGAAACCAAAAGAAAAGGTGGCAGAGGGAGAGAAAGGGAGAGGGTCACTCATTTCAGGTCTGACTCTGCCCACTTCTGGCTCAAGCCCAAACTACCCCTAGCATGTGGTGGTTAACCCCTGAGAGAATGCAGTACTCAACAGAATAAAGGCTCCTCACCCTGATGCAAGAGCTTTTGCATGCACTAACTCTGGAAATACCAGCTGCTCCAAGCAGAATAGCACTGAGGCATGTTGGGAAGTAGGCACATCATCTTAGATATTCCCCCAATACTGCCAAGCCACCCAAAGTGGGATGAAGTGGCCCCTGTGCCTCTTTCTGGGGTTTTTTTGCTTGTGCACTGACCAACAAGATTGGACCTTAAGTATCTAGTTCAGGGGTGGGTTACCTTTTTTAAAAAAGCTACCTTCCCTTCTGGGCCGCATGCCAGTGGTGACTGGGAGCCAGGAATGGACGTGGGTGGAACAAGGCATGCTAATTCTACTTCTGTACTGTAGGGCTGGATCTAGACACATCAAAGAAGCAATCTGGTTAAACGCGTTGTAAACTTCATACAGGGAAATCCCGTTGGCGAAAGACGGGACTCCACAGTGCCATCTGGCGTCACAGTGTTGTTAACACATATAAAGCGCTTTATATCTACGAACGTAGCTGAGTCCTATGTTTGTTTCTACACATCCTCACACATCCCTCTCTGCCCTCCATCCAGACAACTTTTCAGAGTTCAAGGACCCATTCTAGCCAGGCAAACAGACTCAGGGAGGAGGGTGGTTGGGGAGAGTCCCAGAAGCCTGGTAAAGTTGCCTGGATAGCCACATTCAGCCCCAGGGTCTGAGGTTCTCCAACCCCGATCTAGCTGAAAGCCCACTAAGATATTCACTTGACCTGCCAGGGCTTCTAATGAGGCAACAACCAGGGAATGCATATTTTAACCTAAAATAAATACACACCATCAAAAGCAACCCAGTGTCAAAATGGCAGAAGCCCACATGTTCCTCAGTTGATCCAATGGCACACTAGACCCAATACTGGTTGCGCTTCAAAGTTGGGTTGGTTTTCCGACAGTGCTGGATCATTTCCGGGTCAAGTCTAGACCAGCTGCTTTGCAGAAGACTTTCTTTGGCTGGAGCTGGGGCAACTGGCACAGGATGAAGATGCTCCCGTCTGACCGCCATGAACGGGAAGGTGGTTGTTTTGCCTGCACCTTCTAGCAGGGGTGTCATTGTGACCACGGGGACAGTCAAACGCCTTTCCTGGCAAAAGCCTGGGCTGCTGAGAGCTGCTGGCGGCTGGCCTGCAACGAGAGGCTTGGTCTTTTTGGGATTGTGACACATTAGGAAGACGCAAACGGCCACCGCACTCGCAATGAACAGAACTGCCACAGCGGCGAGTGGTACAATGATGAGCAGTCGGTTGCTGCTATGAGGGGGCTGAATCCAGGTGCTTCTGGAGCTTGTTTTGATGGTGGTCTCGGTCCAGGCAGATCTGCCTCTTGCAACCTCCTCATTAAACCATGCTTCTTTATTGTTTTGATGCCCCTGGTGATTTTGGTTATGCCACGGAGTGTGGCTTGGTGCTTCACTGTGCCCGTCACCCTCTGGAAAAATCACAGGTTGGTTTTTTGTAACGGTGTAAGTCTTTAAAATGTTTGCGCTAGTAGTTAAGAGTGGCACTTCCGGTGTAAACATCTGAATCAGCGAGGGATCATGTGGCACTATGGCATAGTGAAACTGGCCTATGGCAGGCTGCACTTTGTCTGCTCTGAGTACAAATGTGAAGGAATCATTTAATACATCAACCCCGGTCATATTGGCATCTGCCTCAAGGAATATAGCACCATTGTCGATGTCGCTCTGTGTGAAGAATGCAGCTTCCCTTTTAGAATTGCTTAATGACCTCCTTAGCACTTTCCCATAAGCTGGAGGCACCATCACTTCAAACTTGGGGTTGCTGTTTGTCAAGTTTGCCAGCTGCGAAGCATCCAGGTCGCTGGCTTTTAGCTTGTAAGCCACCCTATTTGGAATGTTCAAGCCATGTGCCGTTCGCACAAGAGGCTGGATCGTGATGTTCATAGCTTGTCCTGTTAGATTACTGTCCAATGTGAGCACCGTGAATCCCAGCCTATCTCCAGTTGCGGTGAGGTCCGTCATACAATATATTAGTCTACTTGCATATAAATCGGCTTGGTAAAACTTGGTGACGCGCTCGTTGCCGATCAATAAATGCCCGTATCTGAGGGGTTCTGTTACTTCAAAACTGATCTCAGCGTTTCTCCCATTTGTGGTTGCCGAAAGGTGTACATTTGTAATAGCAGCACTGCTCTGCCCTTGTGAAAGCACCACCTCTGTTAGGTTGACCAAGGTGACAGCCATGGGTGTCACCTCAAGGTTAAAAAGCTTGTACAGTGGACGGTGTTTTCCATCTGTCACGCTAAAGTAGAAGACCCCAGAGGAAGAAGTTCCATCTTGCACAAACCAGACTCTGCCACCATCGACATCAGCTTGTGTAAAATCCTTGATGGATTCGTTGAGATGAGTCTGCAATGCTAGGTAGCCATTTGGGGGATTGCTTATGATGGTGTATTTGATCTCTTCCGGGGTGTTATCCAAGTCTTCCACTTTCAGGTTTTCTGGTCCTAAAACTGCTGTATCTCCTTGTAAAACATTCAAATGTAGCTGCTTTGTCTTTAGCTCTGGAGTGTGGTCGTTCACGGGCACAACAGTGATATTAAATGTCTCTTCTAAAACACCAGAATCGGGTTTCACTGCAGACTTGCCTTTCTGGTTTAGCCACACAGCAAAAATAAATTGGTCCATGAGTGATTCAGAGTCATCATGTATATAGGTGATTCCAAATTTGTTAAGGATGTATTGGGAGAAATTGGGTTTATCCCTAGTAATGTTTCTTTCTCCCACCACAATTCTGCCATGCAGGGGCAATGATATCACTTGATACCATACTTCATATGCAGAACGTTGTGTCTCGGGTAATTTAAAGAGCAAATTTGAACCATCTAGGTTAGTTTTGTCAATTAAAATCTTGCCTCCTTCATGGACAACAGCACCTATTGTTTTTTCAAAGAAAGAAAAAGTAGTTTTAATTCACAGTAGCAAGAAATCATGATTTAGAGGGCTATGATAGATTATAATATTTTAATGAGTAGGGAAACACAAACTTCTCTCTGAAGTTCTTTCTATCTGAGGCAGGATCTATAATTTCCAAAACAGAAACGAGACAAAAGACTAAAAAAGGAGATGTAGGGGGAGAACGAGTTTAGGAAATGTTGGGAAAGAAGTAGCCGTTTACTTAGTTTGCCATTGGAATGGAAGGAAACAAATTATACTTTTAACAATTTGCGCAGAGGAGTTGCTCTAACTAGCCAAAATAAATAGGAGACCCAGTGCGGAGTAAGATAAGTGTTCGAATTTGTCAGCAAAACTTGAGCTCTAGTCCCTGCACATACATGAAATGACCTTGAGCCACTCATTCCTCTTACTTCACTGAGTAGTTGTGAAGATAAAAAGAAGCTAAGACCATAGAAAGACTCCCACTAAATCAGGCCAAAGGCCCATCTTGTCTAGCCTCCAGTTCTCACAGTGCCCAACCACATACCTGTGGGAAGCCCGCATTGAGGACCGGGGTACATGAACACTCTCCCCACCAAAGATTCCCAGCAACCAGATATATAGACATTGGCAGTAGAGCAAGTCATTGTTTCTCATCTTCCATGAGTTTGTCTAATCCTCATTTAAAGCCATCTAGGCAGGTGGCTAAATCTTATGCAAGCAAATTCCATAGTTTAACTAAAAAAAAAGGATCCTGGGTGGTTAAGTCTAGTCAAAGGCGACTATGGGGTTATGGTGCTCATCTCGCTTTCAGGCTGAGGGAACCGGCGTTTGTCCACAGACAGCTTTCTGGGTCATGTGGCCAGCATGAATAAAGTGCTACTGGCGCACGGAGGAGGACCGTGATGGAAGCCAGAGCACACGGAAACGCTATTAATCTTCCCGCCACAGTGGACAGAACAACGGAAACTCACCCCGTTGCAGGGATTCAAACCACCAACCTTCTGATCGGCAAGCCCAAGAGGATCAGTGGTTTAGACCACAGTGCCACCCGCAGCCTATAGTTTACTTATGCACTGTGTGAAGAAGTACTTTACTCACTGTCAAACTTTCAGCTTCCTTAAATGGCCCGAGATTCTAGTTTTATGAGAGAGAAAGGGGTAACTTCATGTGAGCTGTCGTGAGTTCCTCAATCATACAAATGTGATTGAAAACAATATACTGGTTTTACCTGTATTTGCAAGTAGCTGAGTGGTCCGATCATGTCCTTTAATTTCGTAAGAAATATTAATGAGAAACACCTGAGGATCCAGAGCTGCTGGTGGGGAGGAGACTGTAAAGGTAAAATAATCCTGTGCATTCCAATAAACTGCCTCCTTATTTGCATGCTCATAGATGAGCATCCCTTCATCTACCTGTCCAGAGGAGAGAGGAAAAACAAATTACTGGAACATGCAGGTAAGACAGCAGAACTGGTCCAAAACAAGTTTCCAGCTAATTATTTGGCCTACAGAAAAGAATTACTTCACATGTGGAATTGGGCCAAACCTCAGAGTTAAAACCTATAATCCTGTGAAAGTGCTGTGGGAACTCCATGACCGCAAAACCTTAATTCTATGTGTAATACAAAAGGTTTACCCTCAAGCCGGCTAACAAATCCACTGGTTCATGGCAACGAGTGCTCAGTGGGAGACCCTGGTGCTTTCACAAGTGAAAGGAAAAATGCCTTCGAATCCAGAATCCCTTACCTAAGAATACTGTTAGGGAAGGTGAAAACCCATAAGGCATTTTTAATTTTTACATTGTGGTTTTATTGGGTGTCTTCATGTTTGAATACTTCATATGGTACAATATACAATGGTACCTCAGGTTACATACGCTTCAAGTTAAATACGCTTCAGGTTACAGACTCTGCTAACCCAGAAATAGTGCTTCAGGTTAAGAACTTTGCTTCCGGATGAGAACAAAAATCATGCTCCGGCGGCGCAGCGGCAGCAGGAGGCCCCATTAGCTAAAGTGGTGCTTCAGGTTAAGAACAGTTTCAGGTTAAGAACGGACCTTCGGAACGAATTAAGTACTTAACCCGAGGTACCACTGTAAACTGCAACAGCAAGAAGAACAGGCAGGCACATTAGCACACAAGCGAGCTTCCTTCCTCTCAGTGGCACCACTTGGGTCAGACTAGTGACAGTCCCTGAACAGCCTCCCCCCCCCCAAACATTTCACAGAGCAGGCAATAAAGACGTCTGAGTGATGCTGCAGACAGTCATGCCTGACATCTTTAATTCTGCAAATCTGGTGCACTAACCATCTCTACCTAAAGCACTGAAAACAATATTATAAAAAGTGATCTGTTTGTCGAAACACACCGGGGTGGGGGCACACGCAGCCCCCAGAATGAGACAAACCTCTCCGGGCATCTTCCTTATGAAGCGCAGCTCGGGACGTCCATAAATCTTCAGTCCCAGCACGCTTCCAGCGACACATATCAGAAAACTATGTGCACGCTCACTCAGGAGAGTTTAGCAGAAACAAAGTGGAGCATTGGTATGTGCATTCTAAGTATTTATTAAGCGATATATACAGCACAAACCTTGACAGACAAACCTAGACAGCATCCTAAAAAGCAGAGACATCACCTTGCCAACAAAGGTCCGTATAATTAAAGCTATGGTTTTCCCAGTAGTGATGTATTGAAGTGAGAGCTGGACCATAAAAAGGCTGATTGCCAAAGAATTGATGCTTTTGAATTATGGTGCTGGAGGAGACTCTTGAGAGTCCAATGGACTGCAAGAAGATCAAACCGACCCATTCTTAAAGAAATCAGCCCTGAGTGCTCATTGGAAGGACAGATCCTGAAGCTGAGGCTCCAATACTTTGGCCACCTCATGAAAAGAGAAGACTCCCTGGAAAAGACCCTGATGTTGGGAAAGATGGAGGGCACAAGGAGAAGGAGACGACAGAGGATGAGATGGTTGGACAGTGTTCTCGAAGCTACCAACATGAGTTTGACCAAGCTGTGGGAGGCAGTGGAAGACAGGAGTGCCTGGCGTGCTCTGGTCCATGGGGTCACGAAGAGTCGGACACAATTAAACGACTAAACAACAACAACAACATATACAGCAAAAAGCAATCATGGCGTCTCTCCTCTTTCTTCTCCCAGAGAGAGAGAGACAGAAAGAAAGTACGACAGTACAATAGAGTAGAAGAGATAAGACTAGCTTCCGTTCTCACACTTTCCAAGCCTAGAAAGGAAACACAGACATGTGATGTAACAATCACACATCCAGCAACGGAGGAGTGAAATGCTAACACTGTTCACTCCCCACATGGCAGGTAAGGAGTGGTGGAAGAATATGCCCCTTTTTCTTTGTTCTGTTTTGGGGGAAAGAAGGAAAAGCCGACCCATTCTCCCCCCTTCCTCTTACCATCCTGGTAGCAGGAAGGTAACAAGCAGATTATTTTTCCTTTATCCCCTCCCCACTGCAAAACGAAAGGAACAAACATCTAGCCAGTGTGTTACCTTCCTGCTACTTGGAAAGCAGGGTGGAAGGAGCAACTTGGGCAGCATGAGGGGGCTGGGGGGTGAAGGAAGTGATGCTGGCGCCCCAAACCACCTCACAACCTGGCAGCACCATTGCTTCTGCTGCCTGCAACATGACTATGGAAATGTGCTGCTTTCAGAAAAGGAAAGGAAGGATCGACAAGAAGACAAAACTGTCTTAATTAAAACTGAAGTCAATAATCAGAATTTAGAGTCAGTAATATTGTGCTTTAGAATATTTTAAACACATCACATTTGTTGACATGGTTTGGCTGTATATATCTCAGCTTAATAAACTGAGACAGGCTCAAGCCTTGTCCCTGTGTGCTGTCCTTGCATTGCCTCTTCCCTGCTTTATTCTAAATGGGATTTGACCTAACTAACCATAGTTTCTCATTATGTCCGAACCAGGAAACTATGGTCAATCAGATGAGAAAGGTACGTCCCAGCCAGGCCATTACTGCGATTGTAGAGTTGGAAGGGACCTCAAGGTTCATCTACTAGTCCAACCTCCTCCGATGTAAGAATCTTTTGCCCAATGTGGGGTTCGGATCCACACCCCTTTACAGCAATCTTGTAACCGTATTCTTAGGGCGACAACATTTAGCTGATTAATTCATTTAAATATTTTGATTAACTCTGATCTAAGGAACCTTCAGACAATCAGCAGAATTTTACTTGTTTTAACACTAACACAAGCACTTATGAAAACTACAGGTGGCAAGTGCTGACTTAAAATACGCATTCCCTCCTGTGTAAGACGATAGTGTGGGGAAACCCTCTTTCTCCTAAGATAGTGCCTGTTGCATCATATTACCAAGAAACAAAGTCTGTTTTATTTCTTTAGAGCAACTTTTCTCATAGGCACATTTTAGCTCAGGAGAGAGTAACTTGCCCGAAGTCACTTGGGATGCAATCATACTTTTAAATTAGCAGGTAGTAAAGCCCTCTTAAAAAAAAAAAAAGGTTATTACTTCTGAATAAATTTGTTTGAAACTGTTCTGCTAATCAGTTTACAGCAGAGGCAATATTTGAACTAGAAACTTCCTGTAGTTCAGCCTCTTAGCAACTATACACTGCACTCCCTCAAATTTATAAGGTTTCCCCAGAACAAATGCAAACTTGGTTTCTATAACGTTGAGGATATATATATTGACATAATCTTCCACTCCCTTTTCTTACATAGGTTTAGTAAATGTTGACCCTTCACATTAAACTTAGCACACCATATAACAGTGGTTCCCAAATGCCCCCAACCCCCAAACCATTCATAAATTGTTGTGGGTCTTGGTGGAACACTTAATAATTCTTCTGGCTGCTGTAGCAACTGTGTGATATTTAATTGTATTTGTACAGGCAAGCCACACAGACCATCTGAATTCCATGGCTCATGCTTTGGGAATCCCTGCTGTATAATATTGTCCCTAACAAGCTTCTGCCCATATTGATCAAATGAAAAGGGTAGGAATTTTTCTGTGAAAATATTGTCTAATTCCCCTCGAATAAGTGTGTAAACATAACGGACAGCAGAGAAGTATTTGTAACAAAGCCATATTGCCGACACCCGTAGTAAAACGGACTCTTACCATGGATTGCGTAAAACTTGTAATATCCTGTGTGCTATTACCAGAGACACTGATGAGTCTTCCAAGCTTCGGGGATTTTGCAACAGTAAATAGTATAGTTCTGTTTTCCGAATCAGCTACTTCATTGGTGACAGCTTTTAGATGGTGAGATGTAATGGGTTTCTTAGAACCTGAATAATTATAAGCAGTATATTAATATTGCACTGAGCACTTTTTAGCATATAAATTGCTTAACGTGCAATTGTAATTGGCTGGCTCAAGACATTTTGCCGCCCAAGGACAAGGCAGTGGTCCCTCCCAATTTAATGTACAAAAGCCAACTGAACTCCCAGTCTGAAGTAGTATGGTCTAGGAAGAACTGTTCAACTTCTGGGGTGGTAGTCAACTAAGTTTTACTCAGAGTAAACCCACTGCAATGAATGAACATGAATAAGTTCATTAATTTCAGTGGGTGTCTTCTCGGTAAAACTTAACTGAATACCACCCATAATTTAACTGAATACAACCCATAATTTCTGCATGTTTGAATCAGCTCTTTGTTACTGTTCAGAACAGGTTCTCTCTTCATTTGTAGAAGCTCACTGCAGCAAAGTTTAAGGGGAAATTGATCAGCAGGAGAACTACTAAGTAACTTGTTTTATTTCTACTGAGAATTATAAAGCATTAAACCGAAATCTAGAAATGCAATATTGGGATGGAGAAATCAAGGTAATTAAAACAAAACTGATACATTGCTCCAGCAAAGTATTGTCTGCAATCCACAATGATGTATTTCACCAATAATAACGTCCATGCTTATGTGGTTAACGTTTTTTGTTGCTACATCATGCACTCAACAGAGGGCTATTATATAATGGGTCAAAGAGGCCAAGCAGGAACTCAACCAAACTTACAGAAAGGACAGTAAGAATAAAGAAACCTTTAAAAAACAAAAAAAACTTTTAAACTAGTTCAGTCTTTCACAAGTATAAGAAATGAACTGCAAATCATTTAATTGTCTTGAAATTGGCAGTATCACAGAATCATGTATTTTAGAATCATAGATGTAAGTACAGTGGTACCTCGGGTTAAGTACTTAATTCGTTCAGGAGGTCCATACTTAACCTGAAACTGTTCTTAACCTGAAGCACCACTTTAGCTAATGGGGCCTCCTGCTGCCGCCGCGCCACCAGAGCACAATTTCTGTTGTCATCCTGAAGCAAAGTTCTTAACCTGAAGCACTATTTCTGGGTTAGCGGAGTCTGTAACCTGAAGTGTATGTAACCTGAAGCATATGTAACCCAAGGTACCACTGTATATGATTTTAGTGTCTTGAAACAGGCAGTGCTTTGGGATGTTGTTCAGTTAACTTTGTTTTACTCAGCCATAATAGCCACTGGAAGACCTTGGACTGGTAACCTTCTCTCAACTTAACCAAGACCACCTCCTAGGGTTATCATGAAGATAAAAGGAAGGGATACTACATATGCCAGCCTCAACTACTTAGAAAAAGGACAGGATTTTTTAAAAAAGGACCAGCCTAACCAACACGGTCCTTGGGTTATGTTGTACTGCAGCGTACAATCTTGTTCCCTACATCTGAAGCCACTGGGTGTGGTCATTAGGAGTTCTGGAGCAAAGTGTCATCAGCATACTCATGACACACAACTTCTCCATAATATCTGAGTTAGGAGAGGCTGCGTGATCTAGAGACTGTTGCTTGAGTGAAATCATGGACTGGATGAGGGCTGATAATCTGAGCTTGAACTCTGGATGGAGACACTTTGGGTGGGGTGGCTCTTGTGTCCGAGAGATTGGCCCATTGCTTGTTCTGGATGGGACTGCACTCACTCCGAAAGAACAGGTTTGGAGTCTAGGGGTGCTCCTAGATCCATCTTTATTACTGGAGGCTCAGGTAGCCCCAGTGGCTAGCTGTGCCATAGACTCAATTATTGCAATGTACTTTACTATGTGGGACTACCACTGGGTCTGCTCTAGAGCCTCCAGCTGCTGCAAAATGATTTATGCTACCAGTCAGGTTCAAGGTTCTTGCATTAACCTACAAGGCCCTTTACAACTTGGGTCCAGGACATCTCAAGGACTGCCTGATCCCTGATATTCTTGCCCAATCACTGAGGTTTTCAGGGGGTCACTGTTACTGGTTCCCTGTGGCTAAGATCCACGGCTCATGTTCACGAGGAAGCGTGTGCCCAGTAATGTGGGCCCAATTTTATGGAACTGTTCTCATTTGGGATAGCGTTCAAAAATGTGGAGTTATCACCAAAAAGGCCCTATCTTTGACTGTTCTGGAGGTGGAAGCAACATGGATTGAAGACTGAATACCAATCTAATGCCAACAAGCAGACACAGCTCCATATATAACTTGCAGGATCAATATCCAGATGAATATATAAAGTAGACTTTAAAAGTGAACCTGAATTAAGATAGATGCACAGCACATTTTTTTGTTTCCATATTTGAGAGATTTTCATTTGTTTAATAACAATTGAACAAAAACAGGGGGGAAGGAAGACTGCAAGAAAGCCTAAGACAGCTTTTGTCAACTTTTGGACTACAACAACCAAGAGCGGGCAGGCAGGAGGTGATGGGAGTTGTAGTCCAAAACATATAGAAGGCGCCATCTTGGCAGAGCCTGGTCTAAGAAATGCAGGACAACTGAGAGGTGAATCAAAGTAGCCAAAGCTGTGTTTAATTTATATGAGCACTTTTCTAACTCAAAAAGTGCTCAAGAGAAAATCTTGGCAGTTATTGCAGCCCTAGCAGAGCAGAGCTGAATGTATGGAGAGATCCATTACTTTTCTCACATGGGGAAAGTGGAATAGTGGAACGGCTCCTTCAAAACTGCACCAGGAATAGTTTGCTTATAATTATCTTTGGCTTACCATAAAAACCCCTATAAAAGCTAATGCCTGGAGCTATCTCAGAAGACCAAAAGCAACTGCGGGGACAGGGGTTTAGATTTTAAAAGCCTTACCCATGCAGCTTAATACGATCACATTTATTCAGACTGAAACCCAAGTCTCATGCTTTGCTTCTTTTGTTAAATCAGCTCATTATGAGCAGCTCTGCATTTTATTTTCATGGTTGGTAGTTTTTACTGTTCAGCACCCAGAGAACATTAAGTTATTGTGAATTGTGCAAATGTTGTAAATAAAATAAATATATAAATAAAAATATGCTGAACCAAAGTAAAACCCAAATGTTGTAAGCATACTGAATTACGCAAATTAAGTAAATTTGTGTGTGTGTGAGAGAGAATTTCATATATTCCTCTGCTTCCAAGATTTAGGATTCATAATGGGAAACATACAGAATGTCTCATGTTAGCAGCATCCACCTATAGGGTCTGACAATATATAGTCTTTGAGAGAGTTCATACGTGACTTGAGTGAATGTGCATATAACTATTACCAGATATTAATTATTGTTGACCTAAAGTCAACTACAACTTGAACTACAACTCCCATTGAACTACAACTCCCATTGAACTACAACTCCCATTATATCTGACCATTGCCTAAGCTGGCTGGGGTTGATGAGAGTTGGGAGTCCAATTTTTGGAGGACACTAGGTTGGGAAAGGCAGGAATGGGAAACATGTGATACTCCAAAGGTTCTTGGGTTCCAGCTCCCAGCAGCTCCAGTCGACATGGTCAATGGTGAGGGATTATGGGAGTTGTAGTCCATCAACATCTGGAGGACCACAGGCCCTCAACCCCCAGCTTAGGGGCAGGCTACAGCTCAGTGAAGCACATGCTTTGCATATAAAGGGCCCCAGGTCCAATCCCTGACATTTCCAGGTGCAGCTGGTAAACACTCCTTTCTGAAACTCTTGTGAGCTACTGCCAATCAGAGCAAGCAATACTGAACAGGTTGGACCAATGGGCTGGTTTGATGCAAAGCAGCTTCCTGTTTTATAACATGGTGTGGGAGCTCCATGTTTGCAACACCCAAAACCCTTTTTCCTTTCTCATAAAGTAAGAGCTAAACACTGAATATTGGGTTAGACATTCCATAGCCCCAGAGTTTATTCTTATTTCCTGGATATTTAAAAATGAAAATATAAAGTCTCACCTGGAAAGACAGCCAGTCCATTGTTATTTTCTAAGCGAATAACCAGAGTTCGAGCTGTGATGCTAAAAATTTGTCGAGGTGCAAAGTTCAGACCGTCTGTCACTTGAAAATTGAAGCCTCCAGACATGGTCCCTGAGGGAAGATGGATAGACTCTTATAACAACAAAAATTATCCAGAAACTTCTGAAAGTAAAACTAAGTAACTAAGAAAAAAATATATAAATCTGGAATGACTATGATGGGTTTCTATGTACAGACAATCTTTGTACCTACAAGTGGAACTTGGACAATGGAATCCTTTTTATTCTTTTTTAAAAATCTGAACTTCAGTGTTTTCAGTCAGCAGATTCGTTCACATATCATGGTAAGCCATAATTGAAGGTTTACCACAATTGCTCCTTTCTGGTATGTTTGTTCCTCCCTGCTAGCATACCGATGAAACAAACCACGATCCCCAGCTAATCGTTATCTGAACCATGAATTGTGGTTTGTTTTACCATCAACAAACCATGATAAGTAGCTAAGGTTTGTTCTTGACTCGTTGGTTGTCATTTGTTGCAAGCAAACCAAACCAAAATGCCTTGCTTGGTCATAATGATAAGCCAGGGAACGCAGTTTGTTTCCTCCATATATTATTGGAGGGAGACATACAGTCCAGGAAATGTATTTTTTGTGTTTTATTAACTATGGTTTACCATGACATGTGGACTGGGTCCCTATGTTCTGGTGTCCATATCGAAGTGAAAGATCTGAGTGGGTGATGGACTCTACTTACTACTCAGTGGAGTAAACAAGACAAATTATTGTGGCATTATCTACAGAAGGTGGGATTAGTTCGTAATGCATCAGAAGTTTTCAGAATTCAAAAGAGATCCAATGGAAAAGGGACAGACAATGGCTCAGTTTGCACGTACTGCTAAGCCAAACCATAGCTTAGCACATATGAACAAGAATGTGGGCTTCTGAAGAGATCATGGCAAGTTTGATCATCCTGATGGACTGCAGAAAGAGAAGCCATGCTTGCCTTCGTCTGTCATCTAAACCCAGGCATGTAGTTGGTCTCTTCCAGTCAAACTGCAAGCTGGAAACCAAAAACAAGCCTTGCCTATCGATCTTGTTTTGTCTGGAGGAGACCAACCATGAGCTTGAGTTGAGACAACAAGCTAAGCCAACCTATGGCTTAGCTCACAGCTTCACACCAGTACCAGAACTGGAAGCAGAGCAAAGTAGCAGGGATGTCCTCTCCAAAACCTTTCACACTCACACGGTCACACTATGCCATGGTTTGGCTTAGCACTTATATGCAAACTGGGATGGGTGGTGGAGGTCTGGTTTGCATGACTCGGGTGGTAGCAAGTCACGACTACACTTTTCATTCAGCACCCTTATTCTTCTGGAATTGTTAGGCTTGCAAAAGAAAAAAGAAAATTTGAGCAATCTTTGTAAGGTGATTGAGAAGTGTCATATAGTATACCATTGCTCCTCCCATATCCCACTTTCATATCAATGGAATATGGACAGAATAATTTCCATGGGGGTTTTACTTGTCTTAAAATTTAGCTTCCAGATTTCTGAGTTTTTAGTATGTATTTCCATCTGACATCAATGCTGGCTTGGGCTGATGGGAGCTGTAGTTCGAAACATCTGGAGGGCACCAGATTTGCCAAGGCTGTCCTATATTATTATGTTGGGTTATACCGGCATCCTTAAATGAATTAAAATGTAAGAGATATATCCAAAAAATAAATCACAACACTCAACAGCTGATACATGAACATGACATACCATTATGGACAAACACTAACTGTCCTTCCTCAATATGAGCTTGGGTAAAATTAAGGGTACTTTTGTTTGGAGAAGACTTGAGTGCCAAGTGACCATTGCTTGGAGGAGAAATAGAGTACAAGAGTTCTGCGGGAGAAGAATCTTTATCTTCTGCACAGAGGTCATTCACAGTTATTTCAGTGACTGATCCCACCCAGACCTTTAAAAAAAACCACACATACACACAAGAGAAAAACAGGAAATAATTACACAAATTGATTCCGGTTACCCCAAGTGGTTAAATGTACAGCTTTGCAACTAAAGCAGGTTGGCAAGACCTAGGAAGGTCCATCATTAAAATCATTTCAAACTACAAAGACTTAAATAAGATATTGAACCAGTAGGAGAAGGAATTGTGTATAGCCTGAGAGCAGCTGAATGCTTACAAAGATAGTCTGCGTGACTCACTCTGTCTCGATACCTATCTCAATAGCAGCAGTGTTTCATTGAAGTCTAGAACTGCAGGCCAATCTATGACTGAAACAAACAGGGAAATAGATGGGCTAATGCTGATGCTCTGCACCTCACAGTCTGGGTCAAAAGAAAGGCGCCAGAAGAAAATGGCTTGGAAGAATGCCAGAAGCAATAATACCTTGGATATCCACTTGCAATGTGCACATGGCCGCAAGATAGTAAAAGGGAAAAGGGGAAAAGAAACATACACACATGCTGATGCGGCAATAAATCTGTTAGTCTTTAAGGTGCCACAACATTTTGTTGTTCTTGATGCAAGGGATTAAAAGAAGTTACCCCTCTGGGCCAGGGTTTGCCTGCTGTTCTGCAAGCTTTCTTGACCCATCCCCAAACCGCTCTTTAGCCAATCCGCTAAGCCTTGTCATAAATGCATACTCATCAGACATGACTAATTTCTGGTTTTTTCGGAGGCTGCTCTGTTCTCCAGTTTGCGGCATTTTCCCCCCTGCCACACAATGAAGCTGGCTCCATCTAGCAGCAGCTGTGTGACAATTATGGAAAAGTGTCTGCAACATCAAAGAGCAAATAACAAAGCTGGCTTAAAAGAAAGGCCACCTCATTACTGTTTGACAAGTCAGCTCGTGATGGCTCTTTGGAGATGTTACTTCTGACTGACTGGGGGAAAAAATGGGGGCAGCAGATTTTAATTAACTTTTTAAACTGCATATATGTATGTCATTCCTGAAGAGGTGTTCCATTCTGTGTGAGAAAGATGGGAGAATGCTTCTTCTAAGTTGATGTCTTCTGTGTGCATCATCTAACAGCAAAGTATGGTTTTCTTCTTTAAAACTATTATTTTTCTAATGCAAAAATTTATGCAGATTTAATAAATCAAATCACCTTTGAAGGCCAGTTCCCCCTTTTCTCATGCACAGGAAACAATACTTCCCTCATTCAACATCTAAACATCTTTATACGTACTCACAGTAAAAATTACTTTAAAAGATAAAATACAATCTGCTGCCCTATTACAGTGGTACCTCTAGATACGAACAGGATCCGTTCCAGAGCCCCGTTCGCATCTAGAAGCAAACGTAACTAGCGATGGCACGTCTGCGTACGTCGCTTTTCGCCACTTCTGCGCATGACGTCATTTTGAGCGCCTGCGCATGCGCAAGTGGCGAAACCCGGAAGTAACGCGCTCCGTTACTTCTGGGTTGCCGCGGAGCGCAACTCAAACGCGCTCAACCCAAAGCGCATTCAACCCGAGGTATGACTGTATAATCAGGGCCATATTTTTAGTTCATTAAAAATGTGAGGGGAACTCCCTTTCTTATAAGCCTACTCTGAGCCCACTTAGCATTTCTGCAATGCCTCAAAGAGCTAAATATCTCCCAAACTAGACCTTGGCTTCCCTATTCAGTAGGTCTGCTTTCTGGCGCAATAACAGGCTTGCTATGGTCCTCAGTACTGCTTGCAACACAGATTCCCAGCTCTTCACCACCTCCCCGACCCCCAGTCTCTTCCACGTCACTGGTAAAACAGTCACGGAAACTTGCTTCATGCTAGGGGGTCTTGCTCACACCTAATTCTGGACCTCCAAGATAATCTTCTCCTGGGACAGTATCAAAGTCTCCACTTCTGCACAATCCCCTCAAATTGTTTTTATTCAATTACTCTGATCAATTAACTAAATATTGTTGCTCTGGTTATAAATATATAAGGATAAACCCGGAAGAGACATCTGGGGATTGACTGTCCCATCAGTATGTTGTTATCACAAACTGTTTCGGAAATTCCCGTCACTGGTGGTGGTGGCCTCGGATGGAAACAGGGACTGCAATTTGAGAAGTGCAAACGACTGCCCCTGCACTCACAGTTACTTGTACCCTGGCCACAACATTTCAGAACAAATGCAAGCATTGCAAAAGAAAATGAATGAAGCTAACGACTGAGAAAAGACACCCTACGCCCAATAGCACCATTCACAAGAAATGCTCCTGGGCTGAATCAATGGGTGAGTGGGAGTTATATCATGCAAGCGGGCTTGCACCACCCGACATTCACATTAGATGTACAGATATTGGGTGAGAGGTAATCTGGCATCCATGATGTCAGAGGCAGAACTAATCGATGTGGATCTGCTCACATGTTGACACAGGATTATCACTGTTTCATGCAAAGGCTAATGTCTCCCTCTTTTGTCTTTCATCCTTTGTACATACTTATAATTTCACATTTTATTGTAGCCCCTTCCTCATCACGAAGGAACACGTCAGATGTTAAGCTGCTGTTGGGCAATAAGGTTTCATGTAATATTTAAAAGAACCACAGCAATCTTTGACAAAATTCATTCTCATGTTGAATTCAACAGAAACACCGCCACCACATCAAACGATACCTGATGATGCCTCTGCTAAGGGAAAACAGATACTTTAATTGTGAAATGGGATCACCAGAATGTGTGTTTAGAGTGAGACAATAAAGTAGCGCCTGCCTCAAAAAGGGAAAGAAGAAAGAATGTAGGTTATTGTGCAGAAATGTCTAGTTGCAACCCTTCTCGACGGGAAGCAAATAGGAACCCCTTGCCATAAGAAATGATCCAGTATTGCAAAATTAAAATTAACTCTCCAGCTTCCTGCTTTCCTGTGCCCAGAGAAAATTTAAAAACCTCAATGTCTTCAAAATGATGAAATGATTTTAATATTGAATTTTTCTATTGTTGTAACGTAACTCTGGGGCCACAGTGGGTGTTTACCATCTCCCCAAATCCTGGAAAGGTGTTACTACAGTATTACAGTGGTTACTAACCAAACATAACTGGTTAAGACATGCCAGATGTCACTGAATCCAACGTGGGCAGGAAACCCTTAGAAATGGATGTAGCCATCATACAGGGAGACATTTGCTTGAAGAAGATCGTATTTTTGGCATGCATATATATGCCCCTTTATAACCAGGCTTTTTTGTCCCTTTCACTTCACCCCCCATCCCCAAACTCCTCCCTCCATCTCTACTGATTTGATTTCATCAGTGTTATTGTTGTATTCTGTTACATAGGTCATAGTCAACTATGTCTTACTCAGAGGAGACCCATGGAAATTAATGGCTAAGTTAGGTGCATTAATTTCAACAGGTCTGTTCTGAGTAAATCGATGGGACATGTTTTTTATGACTGAGTCCTGATTTCAACGGGTTTAAAGCAGGGCTGGAGAATCTGTGACCCTCCAGAGTTTGTGGGGCTGTAACTGTCCATGCCTTCTGGGAGTGGGGGAGCCCAACAACTTGTGGACTGCCATGGATTCCCAATCTTTATATTACTACCTTCCTCATGGCCCAGCCCATAAACTTCAGGGCATTCCAAAAAAGGATCATTATCTGTTTTCCTAGTTTTGTCTCAACACATTCTACAAATATAATACCAGATTCTTTTCTCTCTTTTTTTTTACTTGAGTGGATCTGAGGGAGGGAGTATAAATTATGCCACCGTACAAGGGATTGTTGGAGTTCATGGATATCCAAAGCTCAAAATGTATCCACAATCATTTAATTCTGTCTATTTATTCTTTAAATTCTAAACATTACTCTAAAAAAGTCACCTGCTTTGAACTGAATCTGCTTTCATGGGGATGTTTCTAGATCAGGGTGGGGGTGTTTACGCCTCACTGCTGTACAATTAAATTAAATACTAAAATGGTATGAACCATCATCAGGGCACCTTCTCACATTACAATTCTATGATTCTGTTTTCTGATGACTGGAGAAGCTTCCACAAAAATGAAAACATGTCCCCCTTGTGGTTATACAGATATACTACTGTACTACTGATGAACTTCTGTACCTATGCTTGAAATGATGGCCACCTTAGATCCTAACTAAGTGAATGGGAAGCAGCAGATCTTCCCTCCCCTCTGCTTCCTGTGGCTTCTTGAAAATCTGTTCTGGAAGGTTGGGGAACTTTCTGGAGTAGTGTGCGACATAAGAGCATAGGAAGCTCTCTTATACTGGGGCAGAAGAAGAAGAGGAGTCTGGATTTCATATCCCGCTTTATCACTACCCGAAAGAGTCTCAACGCTGCTAACATTCTCCTTTCCCTTCCTCCCCCACAACAAACACTCTGTGAGGTGAGTGGGGCTGAGAGACTTCAGAGAAGTGTGACTAGCCTAAGGTCACCCAGCAGCTGCATGTGGAGGAGCGGAGACGCGAACCCGGTTCTCTAGATTACGAGTCTACCGCTCTTAACCACTACACCACACTGGCTCCCAGACAGACCATTGGTCCAGCTACCTCAGTACTATCTCCCTGAATGGCAGCAACTCTCTAAGATTTTCAGGAAAGGAATATTCCCTGCCCTACCTGCAGATGCCAGGGATTTAACCTGGGATATTCTGCACACAAAGCAGACGATCTGGATGGGGAAGGGGAGATCAGTGAAAAATGTTGCACTACCCCTGGTTTCTCTAGCAGAGAAAGAGGGTCTCAGTTTCCTCCAGAAATGGAAAGAGGCCTTGCACTCATGAAAGGATAGTGAGGATCCAAGTTGATGCCATCTAGATAAAATTGCATTCCTGCTAACTTGAAACAGGCAGGATATAGGAGACCAATTCTGCTTAGAATATATTCAAAGGCTTAATAATCCAAAACAGAAGCCACATACCGTATATCACTCCCCAAGAGGCCAATCATGAACATGTGATTAATCTTTTGACTAAAAGGGGCTTGTGAATCATTCACTCCTTTTCCAAAAAGGAAAAGGTGAAGAAAGTTTCAAATGGTAAATTGTCAAAATGACTGATCGTTGCTGAATTAACCACTCCTTCAGAATATCTAACAGCACATTGCACAAGTTGGAAATAACTCAGGGGAGGGTTACAAACGTTGTGAAGGGATAAAAGGGCAAATCTATTGAATACCAGAGGGTTGGGGTATTAAATATGGAGAAGCATTTTAAAGCATAGCATGATTTAAGACTCAATCTCTCTTTCCAGGTTAGTCTGGGAATAATAGTTCTGTGGGGTCTCCTAACAACTCTCACCACCCTTAGCAAACTGCAATTCCCATGATTCTTTAGGGGCAGCCATGACTGTTTAAAGTGGTATGAAACGGCTTCAGATGTGTAGCGCAGATGGGGCCTAAATTAGGTTCCTTAATTTCAATGGCTCCACTTTGAATAAAACTTAACTGGATACTAGCCAATGTTTTCCATGCATGTAAGGTAATTCTACAGAATTTAGGACGACCTTTTCAGTTCTAGCTGTGCATGCTGTCTTTTACAGAAATAAGGCACAAATAACCCAGATGAAAAACTTTGGAAATAATGCAGGTCTTACCCGAAGTATTTTGTTTCGCCTTATAACAGGGGGTTCATCATTTACTGGTGAAATAGTCACAAATACCATTTGAGGCAAGCTTTGCTTCCACAGTTCTGTGCTGTTTGCTATGATGGTGAAATTGTCAAGCAGCTGTTCGCTATCATCATGAATATAGAAGATGAATCCTTGTTCTAGCTGAAAAGGGAGAGTAACCAAATTAAGAATCTAGCCTGTTCCAAAAATGAAACTGCAAGGATTCAACCACTACATGTACCTAAGTAACTGTCATGTTACTTTTCACATCATTCTTGTCCTGTTTTATATGCAATAAACAATACAATATACAATAATGGAAGACAATATGTTTCTTTAAAATGTGGGAGGTTTCTCATTGTCAGAAGCAACATACTGTCCAGATCAATGGAATATTGACCACTCCCAGTTATACAGTTCCCAAATAATAATCTGAACTGCTTTTTAAAGAATAATTTAAAACAGAATTGTGTTTTCAGTAATCTCACCTGTTTTCTGGTAAATTGAGCCAGTGCCATTCCAGGAAAGTTAGAGTTTGCAATCCGCCCATGTTTCGGTGGCTCAATCAAACCAAATTCACATTTGAGCCCTGCAAAATGGCTATTAGGGATTTTTATAACATCTTCATCCAAGATTTTCGAACCCCCTTCGGTGACTGTGAAGTTGTGTACTTCTAATGGGATCACTTTTGGAATGATGTCCACAGCAATTTCTATTCCACTGAGTCCCCGAATTCCATTGGTCACGTCCAAGGAAAGCCAGTCTTGGAGTTGGCCAGAGACAGTCTGCACATATTGGATGTTACCATCATTGATATCTTCCTGGTTGAAGGACAAAACTGGATTTTCTTCTGCTCCGAGGTAGCCTTCCTCTGATGCAAACTTCCGAAGGTACCCATACATTGGAGATGACCTTACTTTGAACTCTATCTCTGATGGCAAACTGTTTTCATGCACAACCTTGAAAAGCACATGAAAAGCATAGAATAACCACCTTCTTTCTTTTAAAACAGTTTTCACATTTAATCCTTAGAAAGTACAACACAACACTCCTCCATCTATGAGATTATTCACTGAGTCTGTCCAAGGCTCTTTGTAAAAGCTGCTTGCTGGTGCAGAGTTGGTAGGGTAGAGACACAGCACCATTTGGGCAGCTGTTGCTAAACTATGCATGCATATAATCTGCATTCTGGCACAGAATACAAATGTATGAAGCTGACTTATACGGAGTCAGACTTTTGGTCCCTGTAGCCCAGTGCTGTCCACTCTGAGGGTTTCCTTTCCAGGCTCCAGGCACTGCTATGCGATATCCGAATACAGTGTATTCAGCCACTGAACTATGCTTGCCCTGCCTTTTAAAAAACAACAACCCCAAAGTATTTTAAAAATGGACCATACAATCTTTCACTCAAGAGCTCAAACACCAATGCTTGCAAAATAGTGAGCATTAAGACAAGAAGCATCACGCCTACTAATAACAGGGACAGGAACCTTTTTTTTTCAGCTCATGGGTCACATTTCCGCTTGGCTAACCCTCTGGGTGTCAGGGACTGGGCAGAGGAGGAATGGGGGAGACCGCCTCCCTAGCCTGACCCTTCCAGAGAAGAAGGAGACAGTTCAGAATTACAACAGGGGTTTGAGGGAGGTCACAGATCAGAGGGGGAAAGCTGGGAAATAATGGGAGAGGAGGAAGAGGAAGCACCATGAGGGCAACAGCTGATGGACACAGTGTCTTTAGAAAGCATTCCAAACCCTCCTCTCCAAGAACCCGGCGAGCCTTGAAAGTGGGAAAGCAAAGGGCTCAGAAGCAAAGGGCCCTCTGGCCACCGGTAGGGGAGAAGGTGACAAATGAGGAAGTGGAAGAAAAAGGGGGTGGAGAGTCACTTGGGACAACAATATTACTCTAAGGGGCTGCATTCCAAGCCTCTCTCTGTAAACATTGAATAAAAAGCAGTCGGTAAGGACTTTTCCTTGTCTTATCCGTTCCTGGCAACCTGCCGTAGGGGGTTGGTTCCTCTGCCACCTGACACTGGGCTTCAAGATATATTGTTAAAATGATTAGACAACTTCAGCTTACCAGCAATTTCCCTTTAGTGATCTTGACTGGTTTCCCTTCCTCAACCAAAAGTCTGCCGTTATTTACGATCACTGGTGGACGCTGATGACTTTCCAAGAATATGCGGATGTTCATTTCGGCATCCAACCTGGCACCTTTAGCATAAACTGTAAAGTTAAATGTGTCAACCAAATTGTTACTATCGTCATGTCTATATGTCACGTGCCTTACTTTGAGGTCATGCTGAGTGAAAGTGCCCACTGCTAAATCATTTACCAAGACCTGCCCATACTTTGGAGGTAAAGAGATCTCAAATGTAATTTCGTGTTCACTTCTAATATCTTGGTTCGTGGCAGCGCTCAAGTTAGCTGTGGTGATCACTCCCTCTCGTCCTTTCTGGATCAATAACCCAGTGTTGTTTGCTAGACGGACATAAGGGTCGGAAGCACTTACTTCGAGAAGTGAGGAAGTATAGTGCTTCCCATCAGTTACAAACAGCACAAAGCGACCGTAGTCTGCCCCACGATGCATAAACAGGACTCGCCTTTGTGCCAGGTCCTCTTGCTTAAACTGATACAGCCTACGAGACGTTTCATTGACGAAAACCAAGTCTCCATTAGGAATGCCACGCCTGGTGTACAATAACTGATTATCATCAAAATCAGTATCGGGATCATGGTAGCAAAGGTCAGCCAAGGTCAGCAGTTTCCTTCCATTCTTAACAACATGAAATACCTTATCTATGACACGAAGTGGTTTCTCATCATTTTTCAGCTGGACAGAAATGTTAAATTTGATCTCTGCTGATAAAGGGGGTTCCATTTCTGAGTCTGAGCTCACCTTTTCCTCCAACTCCTTGGCAGTTGCTGTGATATGGATTTCATCATATTGCGTCTCAGAATCATCGTGTACATACATGAGATATCTACCAACTATATCCAGATCTGTGAAACTGCTAATGTTATTGTTACTTTCCTGGGAATCTGAAAGATTAATAAGCATCAACTTTCCATGACGCGGACTCTTTGTAACTTTATATTGGAAGGTCTTATTGGTGAAGGTCTGTGCAAATAATTCTGATTTCGTGATCAGTTTCCCTTCACCCTCAAGAACACTGAGGCCATTGTTCGTCAAAAGAATGTTCCGTGGGTCTGCTTTAATGCTGATTCTGAAATCATAGATATTTGACTCCACATATTTTGTAGAAATTAAGAATCGAAACGAGTCTTCCGTTTCTTCGCGGGGCCACTCTGTTAACTGATATTCTACGTTATAATCAGAAATGTCCTGCTGGCTAAATGTTGAATTTATTTGCAAAGGTGTGTTATAAAGTAGAAGGTTTCCTTTCTCAGGCAAGGACTGCAACTTGTAATAAAGTTCATTTCCTGGCACTTCTACTTTTCCTAGCACAGCAAGAAGATAATCTGAGCTAAGGTACTCCCTCTTTGATTTGTCAATTACTAGTGGCACATGTCTCAATAAATTGTACCTCAACCATTTCACCATGACCGGGAACAGAAACTCTTCGCTTCTTTTGCTGCCAATGCTAACTTTGAATTTAAAATGTTCAAGGGGATTATCTTGCAGAATCTCTTTGAAGGTAGAAGCATATCTCACGCGGCCACGTTCAATGGAGCGTTGAGAAAAAGAGTTTGCCTCTTTCCATTCTCCACCGGCTTGCTGTCTCTGAATTTCTCCATAACGGGGCGGCTCTGTGATCTCGTATCGTATATCCAGCTCTTGTTGGAAGGCATTTGTTTCGATGGCCAGATTGCTGGGTCTGATCAAGGCTGCTTCGCCTTGTAGCGTATCCACCCCCGTGTTGTTGACCAACTTATACTCTAAGGGAACTGCCATGACACGCAACACAACCGTGTTGCTGACTTTTTCCCCATCGCTCGCTCGCAGAACAATCCTGGAGTTCTTGGCTCCAGTGTGGACAAAGAAAACATTACCATTTTGTAAGTCTCTGTAAGGAAAGGCAGTAATGGCCTTGCCAGGCATCTTGGAATTTTCTAGAAACCCAGCATCTGCATTCAGGACTGTAATAACGAGATCAGCAGCACTTGTATCATCATCCAAAATATTTATTGAATCTACACCCAGGCATTTCTTTGAGTGCTCAAACAGAAGAAACAAGTTTCCATTGGGGAGTGTGAGCTCTGGAGCATCATTTATTGGCTTCACCGTAATGGTGAACATGTAGTTCTTGTTTCCTTGCAAATATGGAGGCATCTCTTTTTTACTGCTCGTAGAAACTGAGAAAGTAAAATAATCATAGCTTTCCTCAGAGCCATTGTGGACGTACAGAACTCTGCCTTGCCATAAATCTAGCATGGTGAATGTAGACTCTTCCTGCTCTGACTCAACATCCAACCTCAAATAGCCATGAGATGGCTGGTCTTTAACTTTAAAAAGGATTTGCGACTGCCGAATCCCTAATTTCTTGAATTCGACGTTGACTTTAATGTGCTTAGATTCAAGCGCTGCTTGCCCACCCTCTGGAACAATCAAGTTGTTTACAACTACAAAGTGGTCGTGACTCTCTTTCCCATGGAGTTTGGATGCTACAGCACTGACAGCAGACATGGAAGCTGCTGTTCCAACAGGTTGTTTTTCAGGTGCTACAACTGGATTTGTACTAAAGGCGCTTTTGGTTTTGCATCCTGGTGAAATATCCTTAGTCACAAGAACATCCTTCAAGGATTTCCTTTCCGAGTTAATTTTCAAATCTCTCAAGCAGCCTCTGAATGATCCCCCTTGAGCATATCTCCCAGAAAGTGAGGTTAACCCCAGCTTCAGCACTCTGGCACGGATAATATCATTTACTCCACCTACATAAAAGGCCTCCTTAAGGACAGGAAGCTTAGTGTGTGAGGGTAATGATTTTTTCACTGTTTCCTTGCCTAGCATGAGTTCAATATATTTTGCAGAGATTTTCAGTTTGACAGAGTGCCACTGGCTATCATTGACAGGGCTAAGGGAAGAAAGCTGAAATCTGTTCTTTCCCTTTCCAAGATGAGCTTTAATTAGACCATTTTCAATTTCCATTCCAACGAAGTCTCCTGCTGGACCGGAACTGTACAGCAGCAAGCCTCTCTGAGCTGTGGTCTGCACTGTACACTCAAAGACTCTTTCAGTCTGGGTGTTCCAAAGTGGAAAAGAAACATACGACTTTGAGCTAAAGAAACTAATAGGTTCCTCTTCGCCTGCAAAAAATTCATCGCTGCAGCCCAGTGACACTTCGTGGACATTTTTAAACCTAGGAGAAGGTCTCAGGGATGACAGGATGTCATGCTGGTTAAATATCACATCTTCAATGCATCCCCGGAAATTTGTTTGTGCGCCATCGAGGTAAGGAACATCAAGGTCACCACTTCCGCCAACATAGAGGCCGTGTTGAAAGTTTAGTTCAAACAGGACACCGGGCAATTTTGTGGCAGCTTGATCATTTTTGTTAGTCACCAGTATAACGTTATCTCTTTCACAATGGACTTCTATAAGGTGCGCCGTTAAATCATTCAGCTGGGAACTTCCTTGGGAACGGAGGACTTGTTCTCCTGCTCCAAGATTGATTCTCACCTACAGAAAAAGGGATATAGTTTTAATTATTCCAGTGAGTTAGGAAATGCATTAAGGAAAAGATAACAAACAGCATAAGCACAACAATTTCTAATCAGGAGTAGGTCCTACTAGGTTCAATGGGTCTTACTCCTAGGTAGGTGCACTTAAAATTGCAGCCTAAACTAACTGCATGCATGAAACACAGATATAAATACGAGGCAACTCTTGGGATCAGTGCAGACACCTTGCCTTTAAAAGAAATAGATCTTCAAAGTTGCCTACCCCCTATACTAAGTCATAGTTTAGCATTGCATCTGAACCAGACTAGGATAAGAAAGGAAATAACTTGCCTGAAGCACTTTAAAACAAAGTAGAAAGGTGATAAATAAATATTTCAGATCAATCGATAAGCATTTCAAGTGCATGATGCAATCTTAGCCCTGATCACTTAACTGCAATTTAAACCATGCTTTCTGTATTATTTATGCATTTACAAATATAGTGTCTTCCATGTTCATGGAACTTTATCCATGTCACATGAACTGCATGAATTAGCACTGGTAAAGCTCAAGATTACCTTATCTTCCCATTTTCTTTTGGGGTTGCCATTTGAAAGAGAGTAGCCACAGAACTTCAGAATGTAAAGTCCTTTGGATCAGGACCTAATACGTACTGCAGCTCTGAGAACTCCACAAAGTCAGTTGATGCCGTACAAATGAATAATAAAATGTGCCATCTACATTTCCCCCTCCAAAACCTCCTGCAGTCATTCAACTGGCACCACCGCACCCAAGAAGCCATGCGATGTGGTTTAGTTCACTAGCTGCAACGATGGCCATGGCCTTATGTGAATGACTGTAGTTCCTAACCACTTTCAAAGCATCCCTGTCTGTACCATGAAACGACGCTCTTATTCTGGAAGAACAGATGGCTTATAGTTGAAAGGTCCTAGAAACAGCATTCCGCTTCATGATAAGGAAAGGTGTCAATAGTTGCTCCAGTATACGTATCTAGCGCTCATGTGAAATGAGCAGGGCATAAGCAGTCTTTTGTGCCTTGGTCCTAACAGGTAAAAGTAAAGGGACCCCTGACCGTTAGGTCCAGTCGCGGACGACTCTGGGGTTGCGGCGCTCATCTCGCTTTACTGGCTGAGGCAGTCGGCGTCCAGCTCCCGGGTCATGTGGCCAGCATGACTAAGCCGCTTCTGGCGAACCAGAGCAGCGCACGGAAACGCCGTTTACCTTCCCGCCGGAGCGGTACCTATTTATCTACTTGCACTTTGACGTGCTTTCGAACTGCTAGGTTGGCAGGAGCAGGGACCGAGCAACGGGAGCTCACCCTGTCATGGGGATTCAAACCACCAACCTTCTGATTGGCAAGTCCTAGGCTCTGTGGTTTAACCCACAGCGCCACCCGCGTCCCATTTGGTCCTAATATTGAGATATAAATACACCATAGAATCTGCTCCTATAGCTTTAATTTCAATCAAATGGAGCCTGCATTACCTAATGCTGGAAGGCCCAGAACTCATGCTTTCTGTGCTCGAAGCCTCAGGTTCAATGCCTGGCATCGCCAGTTAAAAAGGATCTCAATGGCCTTCAGGAATGGCCAAACTGGTAAGGCGGTGCCGTGGAACTACCCCCTGCTGCCAGCACCATTGCTGCTTACCTGAATGATGTGTGGGCAAAGCAGAGCTATGGCAAGGTCAGGCTGCATGGCCCACTGGCAGAATCAATCCAGCACTCTTGTCCCTGGACCCTGCTGATACCTTGCCCCCTTCCCACATAGTCCAGGTAAGAAGCAGCAATGCCAGCGTTGGGAGGGTAGTTCCACAGCACTGCACCTCCAACAACAGCTCCTCCTGGTGGTCTTGCTGGAGAATGTGCCTGCCTCAGACCTTGGAGAGCCACTGCCAAAACCAAAGCAAACGAGCCACAATCAAAAGGAAATGGAAAGTTCGGGTCGTTTTTTTGGTTTTACCAGTGCTGGCATATGTAATTTTTGTCGCGGAGGACCTTCTGTTCCTTCAAAATTGGCAGTGCTTAGTTAGACAGGCAAATTGTCTGGCTCATAAGACACCTTTGTTCGCACAGAATCTTACCTGCACATTTCCGGAATGTAGTTCCACCAAAAAATAAATGTCTTTTCCTGCAGCGAGAAAAAGTAACCCGTCTGGTCTGCTTGTTTGAAAACGTAATTTCAGTGAAGTTGTTGAGGACGATTCGGCAATGTTTAAATGCACATAGCTTTCGCCGTAAAATGATACTAAAAAGCAAAGATCAGAAGAGAACATTATTGCACGCTTGCCTATAAATAATGGATTCCACACATTATATGCAGATGGTACACCTAGCACTAAAAAATGTGCAGAATTCATTCTTCCTCCCAGTTCACAAGCTTTATGGCTTGCACAATGTTTACTATGTTTGTGTTCCACTTTCTACCACCATTAACAGCATAGGTTGTGATGAGGTGAGCTCCCTAATCCTGACAGGCTTGAGGAGTGGAAGTTTCTAGAGTGGCAGCTTTTGTCAAACAAGGAAGAACAGAAAGAGGGTTCAGAAGCAGGTAGGGCCAGGTAGCACAGAGGAGATTAGCATGCTGAGAAGAAACCTAGGTTAGTATTCTCCTTGCCATAATAGCTTCCCATGAACAAGGAGATATGGTTAATCAGGACCTTTCCTCCATGCACACCACCACTGGCATTCAGAAATGGCAGAATCCTTTTCCAGAATGTGGAGCTCAGTCCTTGGATTCACTGCAAGACAACCAGGTTTGCAGAACCACAATTCCCCATTACTTCTGAACTGTAACCATGGTTCAGTCTCTACTGCGATGTTGTGCTTAGACAAACAAAAAAGAAATCTGCTTGGCCACAGCTCACATCTGGTTACATGAGTTAAAAGGAAATAAATTGTTTCTTCTTTTAGTCAAATATATATAGGCATAATGCATCATGTTTTTAATGAATTTTATTTATCAACCAGCCACCCCAAAGACTTGGGTCAAATAACCTCAGAAAAACAAAATAAACCCCATCAATCTCATTTCCCCATCTGTTGCTGATTTAACTCTCCCAAAGACTGTCTGAAAGCCAAGCAGGTAGGTTTTGAAATACAACGCATTTGAAATATGGGCAGCAATTTATTTTTTATCATATACGATGCGGCTTTTATATGTGCAAAGCGCTTTACAACCATTTCTTTTCTGTGCTATTTCATTTTCTCTCACAGAAGACAGAGGAGATTACAAGTATGTGGGGAAAGGTGGTCTCCTAAATAATCATGCCTCGGTTAGTTTACTTGTTTTATAGCTCTCACAAAAGCTGTTTGTTAGGAGAATGGTTAACGATGTAGCTGCACCTTATAGCTCTGAACGGATTTTTTTTACTGCATAACAGCAACCAGGATAATAAAACCCTCTAGTGAGTACGTTGCAAATGAATGGCATTCACAAATCTCCAAAACACTACCATAATAACAGTAATCAGCGCTTCGAGAGAGAGAGGTTGCCTGCCACCTGCAGCTGTTTTTCCTCCAGTGGAAAAATGTCAGGGGCATTGAAGGAAATAAAAATGGTGGTTCCCCAGCATCTATTACAGGCTTATATTACATTACAGCCCACAGAGGACTGGCCCAGGTTACAAGGGAACTAGGCCCAGGGCCCCTCAAGCTTGAAGCCTGCCCAGATGTGTACCTGTGTGCATACAATGTGCACCTGCCTCATGTTAGTCTGTAAGGTGCCAGAGGAAGCCTCTCTGCTGTTTTGGTTGCAACAGAAAGAAGAGCTGAAAGTGGGCTCCATATATGAAAACAACAGCTCTGGGAGTTGTGTGTCACAAATCCAGTTCCCCTGGCTGGGCTTGAGGAGACGAAAGGCACTCTCAGCCCTAGAGTGGCACATCCAACCAAGCTGCCTCAGGTTTACCTGCCTGGTCCTCCTGCACAACCAAAGTGGACTTCAAACATCATTCTAGCATGTTTTAAAGTAACAGCGAAGCAGAAATAAAAAAAATCTAAAATACTCAAATGAAAACGTTTACAAAGCAATCCTGGGGATGCCTATCCAAAAATAGGGTCCAGGAAAATTCAGTGGGTCTTAAACCTCAGCAAATGTTCACAGGGTTGCAAATGCCTTGTAACATACAATTAATATAGGGTGAAGAAAAACTATGCCATCTTACATCCCTACCTGTGACATTTTTGGTTCGTTTTAGTGCTGTTGTTGTTTAGTCGTTTAGTCGTGTCCGACTCTTCGTGACCCCATGGACCAGAGCACGCCAGGCACTTCTGTCTTCCGTTTTAGTGCTAAGGCGTTCTAACACAAGGTATCAATTTGGCTGAAGAAAATTGGCCAGTTGCCTACTCTGGATAGGGTTGTGCAAACCCTGAAGGAACAGCTTCACAGTTTGGGGGTGCTTCTGGCTCCAGGTGTGTCACCAGAGAGGCTCAGGTAGCCTCAATGGCTAGAAGTGCCTTTTACCAACTGAGCCTGGCTTGACAGCTATGGCCGTTCTTGGAAAGCCTTGTCACAGTAGTTCATGTGTTGGTTTGCTTCCAGACAGGATTACTGCAATGTGCTTTATGTGGGGCTTCCCTCACGCTTCATCCAGAAGCTGCAGTTAGTGCAGAATGCTGCAGCACAGATGAGGTCTTGTAGCGTATAGAACACCTGTGCTCAGAGAACTGCCCATTTGCTACCAGATTGCGCTCAAGGTGTTAGATAAGGTAAAGGGACCCCTGTTCGTTAGGTCCAGTCATGACCGACTCTGGGGTTGCGGTGCTCATCTCGATTTATTGGCCGAGGGAGCCGGCGTACAGCTTCCGGGTCATGTGGCCAGCATGACTAAGCCACTACTGGCGAACCAGAGCAGCGCACGGAAACGCCATTTACCTTCCCGCCGGAGCAGTACCTATTTATCTACTTGCACTTCGTGCTTTCAAACTGCTAGGTTGGCAGGAGTAATGGGAGCTCACCCCGTCGCGGGGATTCGAACCACCGACCTTCTGATCGGCAAGTCCTAGGCTCTGTGGTTTAACCCACAGCGCCACCTGCGACCCCAAGATGTTACTATTAGTATATAATGCCCTTAACAACTTGGGAGCAGTTCACCTACGAGATCGTCTGACCTACGTGTACCCATTTGACTGCTTTGATCAGCGGAATTGGCACTAATACAGGTGCCACATAACACCCATTTGTAAGCACTTGATCGTTTAGTGTGAATTAATAAAACAGTAACTTGCCTATTTACTACAGCCAATTTTCCTATCAGCAACTCTCATAATAGAAATCCACAATGCTCTTTTTTCAATGATGTTTTAAAAGCCAATTTGAGGTATAGGGCTGGGGAGGAAGCTTCTGACTGATTGGGAAAAGCAGAAAATATATTTGATGTGCTACAGGCATGTACCTCTGAATCACGTCCAAAGGGTGCAATCTAAATCCCATTACTGTCAATGAAAAAACTACTATTGATTTCAACTGTTTTGATTTGCTTCCAAAACCTTTTAATGATGTGTGATTTAAAAAAAAATGCAGCATAAATACTAAAGATCAAAGAGGCAATACATCTTCTGTCCTTTATGGTCAAATAGCTAAAGCCTCATCTATCATACTGTAAGGCTCAGCATGAATTAATTTAGAATCTAATTATTCAGAAATCTGATCCTGCAAGTTCTTTTCCTGGAATGGAGAACTGCAAGATGAACAGCTCAGTCTGCAAACCAGTTTGAACAGAGCACTTGCCTTAAGCCTGATGTCATCCTGTTGAAGACTACTCTGAAGTAATTCCAAAAGCCTCAGATTGCTTCAAAGTATGGCTTTTAGGGGACTTACCTGGCAAGGTAAATAATTTTGAAGTCGCACAAAGTTATCCATTAGGTAGAGTCCTATGAAACTCAAATACTTGCTAATCTTGCTAACACAACTTGTCCAATAAAAGGGCACTGACGGGGGGGGGGGGGGCAGGTATAGTGTAATGCAGGAGAAAATCATGTCAACATCTCGCCTGGTACATGGGTTTCCAAACTTGAAAACTGCTGTTTGCCTTGGCCAACCACTTAATGATGTAGCCAATGTAATGCACTGTGCTAGATGCTGATACACTGCAAAAAGGTGGTAGTCACTTCATTGCATTCCACTGCTGATGACGTTGATATCATCCTCGGTTGTCGAAAGGCAACCGAAGTACCAGAATGGGGGGGGGGGGAGAGAGAGCACTTGCCATCTCTGTCCACTGTTTGGCTCAGCCGATTATTTCTCAGGTTCTAGCAGGATTCTACTCCAGAAATTAGTTATTATGTCAGGTCTTAGTCTTTGAGCACGAGAAGCAATGTAATGCATCTGAACACGTGCAGAGTGCAACTTCCCACTACTAGGCTTCCTCCTAAATACCTGAGATTAAGGTGCCGGTTTACAAATCAAGTTTTGCTTCCGCACTGGTGTGTGTGTCTATTTATCCAATCTCCCATTTTAGTAAGAAGTTTTGCATCCAAACTATTGGCATTAACAATACTATACAGCCGAGCTGCAGATTGGTTTGGTTGTAAAACTTGTTGAAGCTCCCAGGAGAGACATGCGTTTTCTTTTGTTTTCTTTTAACTTCGATTACAAGCCTGGGCACCTGGCACCAGGCTCGCGCGCCACAACAGGCACGCATCGTGCCCCCAAACTATCACTTCGTGCGCGCCTTCCCCTCCCGCCTCCTCCAGCCGAGTGTCCGCTGCCAGGCTACAGCGGGCACGAGCCGCAGCCCTCGAGGGCCAGCCTGCGCCATGCACTGCATTCTTGCAAAATGCAACGGGGACTGGCCAATCGCTCGCAGAGGCCGACGGGTGGGAGCGCAAGGCGGGGAGCCAAAGGGAGGAGCCGAGCGAGCCCTCGGCAAAGGTAGCTCTGCAACCCCGTAGAAGCCGCGCGGCCCAGATCCGCCCGCGCAGCCCCCACCTTCCCTCCTCGTCCCCGGACTTTTTTTGCGACGGCGGGGAAAGGGGGTGTCGCGGGAACGGGGCAGCGTGGTTTCTTGTCCTACCTGCCAGCGCCTCTGGGCTAACGGAGAGCAGCAGCAACAGTAGGGCGCTCCCTGAAGCCCAGCCCGGGGCCATGCCGCCCCGTCTCCGGGGAAAGGGGAGCAGGCGACGGGAGGCCCCCGGGAGCGGCGCCCGCTTGCAGCGCCAGGGAGTGGGAGCTCCGCCCGCCGACAGCTGCCGCCTCTGCTGCTGGCGGGCTTGTTGCTCAGGTCAGGTTACACAGCAGAGGGGCGAGGAAAGGGGGAGAGCGGGCCGGCCGGGCGGTGCAGAGATGGTCCTCCTCGCCAGGTCTTTCCCAGAACAGATTGGCTACACTTCTGGACTGCGTTTGGGCCTGGGCTCAGCCCCGGAACCTTTTCTTCTTGTAAGGGCAAGCCTGGTTCTAAAGGGAGCTAAGTCAAAGGAGGTGGCATCCTGTTGTTACTGTTATCATCACCGTCCTCTTATAATAAAACTCTGCAGCATAGCTGGACAGAGTGTTACTGGGAGAGCAAGAGGTTGCAAAGTTACAGCCTCAGCTGCGGGCTGTTCACTAGAGCAGTGGTTTTCAACTTGGCACCCTGGGGTCAGGGGTGCCATGGACAACACTGGCCTCGGCCTCTTTCCTTCCTTCCTTCCCTCTCTCCTCTGATGCCCTCTTGCATCTCTGCCTCCCAAAGGCTTGCACAGCTGTTTGTTGCAGCAGCCCTGGTTACAAGCTCCCTGGGCGAATGGTGCCTCTGGGGCTGGCCAGGGGGCGCTGGTTGCCAGGAGCTGAGGTGGCTTCGGAGTAAGCAAGCAGGCGAGGGAGCCTAGCCACAAGTCCTCCAGCCCTTGCTGTTGTCTGTCCATTCCCAACAGCACGTCCAGTCCCACACCCCTGTGGGGCAGTGGAAGGAGGCACCTCTCTTTGTGGTAGGGAGGAAGCTCAGAGACCGGGGCGGCAGCAGCGGCTGCCCAGAGGACTCCCAAGGAGAGGAGGCTGAGGGAACACTCCACAAAGAAGGGTGTTCAAAACAGGGTGAGGAGCTGCCAGCTCTGCAGGCAAGGGGTGACATAACTGGGCTCCTGAGCCCCACAGGGGTGCTGCAGAAAGAGTGGTACCTCGGTTTACGAACTTAATCCGTTCCAGAAGTCTGTTCTTAAACGGAAACTGTTCTTAAACCGAGGTGCACTTTCCCTAGTGAGGCCTCCCGGTGCCCTTCCACTGTTCGGATTCCGTTCTTAGACCAAGGTAAAGTTGGCAAACCAGGACACTACTTCCGGTTTTGCGGAGTTCTTAAACCAAATTGTTCGTAAATAGGACTGTTCTTAAACCGGGTTACCACTGTAGTTGGTCAAGGGAGCCATGGAATCAAAAAGGTTGAAAACCTCTACACTAGATAGCTGAATGTAGCCCATTGGTAAACCACTGTTGATCATCTGCTTGTCCCTGCTCAAAAATATGTAACAGACTGTAAAGGGCAATCATAATAATAATAATAATAATTTGAATTCAGGTGGTTCAAAGCAGCCAGTGTCATTTATCTTTATACAGTGGTACCTCAGGTTACATATGCTTCAGGTTACAGACTCCGCTAACCCAGAAATAGTACCTCGGGGTTAAGAACTTTGCTTCAGGATGAGAACAGAAATCATGCAGCGGTGGCGTGGCAGCAGCGGGCAGCCCCATTAACTAAAGTGGTGCTTCAGGTTAAGAACAGTTTCAGGTTAAGAACGGACCTCTGGAACGAATTAAGTACATAACCAGAGGTGCCACTGTACAGTTGCTTTTCTCACAATTCATGAAGAATCTCCCATCCTTATGCACCTTCCACTATGTTCATACTAAAGCTGTCACCAGATTAAATACTTCTCAGTCCATCAGTTGCCCAGGTTTCTAACTGATTAATCAGTTAAGCAACCTATTAAATTGACATAAGATTTCTTGTGGATACAAAATAATTCTGAAGGAGAAGGTGAACTCTGGGGTGGGGGCAGGCAGATGCCTCTTCTGTGATAACTGCCCCCCATGGTTTTCATGAGTATGTGCATTAAAAATAATTCAATTTTTAAAAATCAACATTTTTAAAAAAATAAGTCTAACCAATTTGTTGCTGCATTCTGATGCATTTCTGCTCAGAAATAAGCACCACATAATAGGAGCCAACTCCCAGCCCACCGCCCAATAAATTATTTGAGGGGACTGGGTCCCCACGGAGTTTATAGGCATTGCCATTCAAATGGTGTGTGTGTACCACATCATGTGATCAGTTATGTGAGGTGGGGCTTACCTGGCCCATCCAATATTTTATTCAAGTTGGCACCCTTGGTCTATAAGATTGCAGCCTAAATGTTTTAGCCCAAATTAATGCTATTGTGCGACAAGCAACCCTCAAGTGTCAGGCTTAGTACTGGATTCCTTTTTTAAAGCTCATTTGCTCGTAGCTATTTGTGGGATTATACTCTGCTTTCAATTAATCTGTGACGTTTCACTGGTTCTAACTATAATCTCATAAATCGCGTTTGTTCTTTGTAGAGCAGGACAACAACTGTGTGAATTGGTCACTCTTAACTGAGCTTTACTTGATTCAGTTCAGTCTCTCTGACATTAATATATCTTCCAGGAGCCAATATAAAATGAGCAAACACTCTTTTCTGTGGTTTAGATTTGATGACTGTCTGAGCCCATTGAACTGAAGTGGTTTAGTGTCTACAAACAGCAATTTCCAGAGGGGCAGCCCTGCTAGCCTGTTTTTTGCAAATACAGCAGTGTCTTGTGGCACTTTAAAGACTTAACAAAATTATGACATTAACTTACATTAACTATTGTCCTGTTTGTCAGATGCATGAAGTATTAACCCTGACTTATAGGTATATGTATAGACACGTTTTCTGGGAGGTGAGGGGAATGTGAGGCTGGAAGAAAATGAAAAGAGATTCATTCGTTCTTACCTATAGATAGATCCACACACATGCAAACCCTCTACAGTTGTAGCTCAGGATGACACTTCATGCATCTGATGATGGAGAGACTCTAGTCCATGAAAGCTTATGCCATAATAGACTTCTTGGTCTTTAAGGTGCCACAGGGCTCTTCATAGTTTTTGGATACAAATAATGATTTGCAAATTCTGAAAAGTATTTGCATGTTATACATTATATTCACGGTTCTCAAAAGTGGAAAGTAGGCCTCCCTAAGACAACACTAGGGGCGCGGGTGGTGCTGTGATCTAAACCACTGAGCCTAGGGCTTGCCGATCAGAAGGTCGGCGGTTCGAATCCCCGCAATGGGGTGAGCTCCCATTGCTCAGTCCCTGCTCCTGCCAACCTAGCAGTTTGAAAGCACGTCAAAGTGCAAGTAGATAAATAGGTACCATAAACGGCGTTTCCGTGTGCTGCTTTGGTTTGCCAGAAGTGGTTTAGTCATGCTAGCTGCATGACCCGGAAGCTGTACACCGGCTCCCTCAGCCAATAAAGTGAGATGAGCGTGCAATCCCAGAGTCGTCCGCGACTGGACCTAACTGTCAGGGGTCCCTTTACCTTTACCTTTAAGACAACACTGGCAATTGTTGAAGTATCCATGGTATACTTTCTAAGTCTTTTCTTTTTCAATGAGGAGCAGTCGCCATGGAGAGGGATTTATTTCTGCTCGGCAGCCTGTTCAATTATGCTACACACAAACGTTCTGCAGTAGCAAATTTATATCTGAAGTTAAAACCCCATCGTTGTGATATAGGGCACTATTACCACTGGAGGGCGATCCAAGGCTGAAAACCATGATGTAGTAGTATAAAACAATACTTTTCTTCTTTTTAAAGCAGATAGAATAGTGTGTCTGTAACAAAACAAAGCAAAAAGTGTTATGAAAAGTGTGTTCGTAACAACGTATTTGTTGCATGACATTGCATTTCAGTTTTGTCCTGTTGGATAATAGTGAACTTCTAAAATAGCATCCTTGAGCCCAGGCAGATATTCATCTCAATTAAATTAAATGCACTTTGCTGGGGGAGCGGGGGGGGCGGGAGGGAGAAGTAAACCTTAAAATAAACATCAAACATTACAACATTACACCAAGCAAATTTATAACTAACAATGTTTCACGATAAATATAATAAATAACATAATTCCAAACAATGTAATAAAAAGGAAGGATGTATCCTGTGGCACAATGGGTTAGTGCATCTGGCTGTTAACCAGAAGGTTGGTGGTTCGATCCCACCCTGGGATGGCTGTGGGCAGGTTTCCTGCATTGCAGGGATTGGACTACTGTTGGGGTCCCTTCCAGCTCTGTAATTCTGTGACCTAGTCCAGCATCCTGTTCTTGCAGTGGTCCAACAGATGCTTCTGGGAAGCCCACAAGCAAGACCTGAGCATAGCCCAACAGCACTCTGCCCAGTTGCAATTCCCAACAATGGCTTTCAGAGGAATATTGTCTCCAGGAATGGAGGTGAAACATGCCTTCATGGCTAGTCATATTTTAAAGCACCTGAGTTGGCATCAAAGTCATAAATACCAGATCCTTTCTTTTGAGCCCAGGTGGTGCTGTGGTCTAAACCACTGGGCCTCTTGGGCTTGCTGATCAGAAGGTCGGCAGTTCGAATCCCCATGATGGGGTGAGCTCCCTCTGTCCCAGCTCCTGCCAACTTAGCAGTTCGAAAGCACGTCAAAGTGCAAGTAGATAAATAGGTACTGCTGTGGTGGGAAGGTAAACGGCATTTCTGTGTGTTCTGGTTTCCATCGTGGTGTTCCATTGCACCAGAAGCAGTTTAGTCATGCTGGAAAGCTGTCTGCAGACAAACACCGGCTCCCTCAGTCTGAAAGTGAGATGAACGCCACGCCCCATAGTCGCCTTTGACTGGACTTAACCATCCAGGGGTCCTTTACCTTTCACCTTTTTATATACCAATCCAATGCCTTTTACAGTTAGCTCAGTTAAAAACATTTGAAAATTCCTACACTTAGCAATGAGGGACGCAGGTGACGCTGTGGGTTAAACTACTGTGCATCTTGGGCTTGCCAGTTGTAAGGTTGGCAGTTTGAATCCCTGCAACGGGGTGAGCTCCTGTTGTTCAGTCTTAGCTCCTGCCCACCTAACAGTTCGAAAGCACACAGTGCAAGTAGATAAATAGGTACCACTCTGGTGGGAAGGTAAACAGCGTTTCCATGCGCTGCTCTGGTTTTGCCAAAAGCGGCTTAGTCATGCTGGTCACATGACCCAGAAAAACTGTCTGCAGAAGCGGACAAATGCTGGCTCCCTCAGCCTGTAAAGCAAGATGAACGTCACAACCCCAGAGTCGTTCGCAATTGGACTTAATTACCTTTACCTTGCACTTAGCAATATCCATGTTCCATCTTCATAAGTGAAAAGTGTCCAACAGTTTTGAAAAAGAGCTACCGTATTTTTTGCTCTATAAGACTCACTTTTTCCCTCCTAAAAAGTAAGGGGAAATGTTTGTGCGTCTTATGGAGCGAATGCAGGCTGTGCAGCTATCCCAGAAGCCAGAACAGCTGCTTTCACTGTGCAGCAATCCCTCTTGCTGTTCTGGCTTCTGGGATTCAGAATATTTTTTTTCTTGTTTTCCACCTCCAAAAACTAGGTGCGTCTTATGGTCTGGTGCGTCTTATAGGGTGAAAAATACGGTATATTCCGTCTCTTTTCTCTCAAGTCGATATGTTTTGTTGGTATAGAGATTTCTGCTGCTTTTGGAACTGTCCTTTAAACTCCTTTAGTATTATTTATTATTATTATTATGCAATTAAGGTTCTGTGGTTGATATATTCTACACTATTATAATATATATATATATAATTCTACAATATGCCATATATCATAAAGACACCACATTCTCTGCTTGTGCCTCAGTCCCAAATGGAAAAACAAACCCTGAGTAGCCCCTGGAATCTCACACCACTCAGATTTGTGTGGGGTGCAACAATATATGGAGCAGCAGTCAACTACAATTTACTCATATAAGCTCCATTAAATTTAATGGCCTTACTTATCCATCATCATTAATGTCAGTGTATCTGCTCCGAGTGAAATTTTGTTGAATACCGAGCCTTGATTTTTAGCATATTTGTCTTCCCATTCATTGTAATGGAGGGAGCATACTATATATGTACTCAGTGAAACATGGATAATCTTCCTTCATCAAAATGAATGGGAAAGCCCTCATGGGCATAGGAGGTCAGTGAATACTAGCATGTTGGAGATTCTGTGTGTGAAACAAACAGCTCATAACGTTCAAGTACTTAAGCAAGTACTTTAAATAGGCATTTTCTGTTGCAGTGAAATAGTACTGTGGTTTTAATGCTCAGCATGACAAATATATGCATTCTCTGGTGTTGTAATTGTTATGCAGTCATATAGAAATGCCGGTGTTATTTTATTTTTTTAAAAAACCCTACAGCTGCTATGTGCTATGTGTGTTTCTTATGGATTGCGCCAATATTTTTGCTTTGTGTTGTCTCGGAGGGGAAATATTAAAGCTAATAGCTGCAGTTTCCTGAATCTAATTTGCGTGGGTTTTCATTTCATTATAACAGGCATTTAGCCTTTATTTCATTATAATAGGCATTTCTGCTTCATCCTATTAAAAGAGCTTTCAGTTGGAAGGAATAAATTGCATTTGGCAGAAAATTGGTCGTGAAAGAAAATTTAGTTCCTAGTAAGGCAGAGTGGAGGGCATGTGAATTGAATTGGTTTCATTGCTTTCCTCAGAGACTGGTGGAAGCATGTGTTTCCAGTGAAGAAATGTGATGATCCTGACTCCACTTTGGGAACCACTGTTCTAATCAATAAAATTACACTCACAACCCACCTTCCTTCCATGGAGCTGAAAGTAACATGCATTGTTCTCCCCTTTTTTAATGCTTGCAACAATCCTGTGAGGTATGTTGGCTGAGATGGTGACTAGCCTAAGCTTACCCAGTGAACTTCATGAATGTCACCCTGGAATTATTGGAGTATGATTAATCACAGTTGCCGTGTATTATGGATTTTGAAGTCTTCATGACATACTGTATAAACAAACCTGAGTGTGCATGCTGCCAAATCTCAAGGACACTACAGAAATTTTTGAACATCAAAACTTGTTTTGCAGATTCAGTGGACAGCTGTGACTTTTAGAAAACCTGCTAGCTATTTCAGAACATTGTACCACAACCCTAACTACGTGTTTCTTCAGCGTGTCAGTTGATGTCAGAAGCTGCTTTCTAGTTGACTAGTGGTCTTTCTAGCCCACCGCAAGACCACCGCTAATAAGCCTGACAGGAAGTATAGACATTTCCTCTGTCTTTTGAACAAGCTCTACATTTGCTGTATCAAGGGATTGATGAATCAAGTTTCTATTTCAAGTTTTTCAACTTTATACAGTGCATTTTCATACAATGCATTTTCCTGTTATTTTCATCAATGTATGCATTTCTATGCAAACGGCCCACTAATATATGCATTTTGGTACGTATTTTTTGTTGGAGAACTACATTAAGAGAAATGTGAATTTCAAAAGTTAGCTGCATTTCAGTTCATGTATCGTTTTGGGAAATGACAACTGGGTAAAATATGAACTGAACCAAATTTCTCCCCATCCCTGGCTATAGCAAATCCAGATGTTCCTTCATGTCCAATTCTCACAATGCATCCATTGCAAACAGGGTGATAAGAAGTTCAAGAGGGGACACAGGAATTTTTGAAGAGCAATTGCACAGAATCCTTTGCAGGATAGTAGTAATGTTAAAATGAAGGGCTGCCTTCAGATGTGTTCTTTATTTTCTTGACATCTAATGGGAGGGTATTCCACAGGGTGGGCACCACCAAGAAGGCCCTCTGCCTGGTTCACTGTAACTTCACTTCTCACAGTGAGGGTACCACCAGAAGGCCCTTGGAGCTGGATCTCAATGTCCAGGCTGAATGGTGGGGGTGGAGACGCTCCTTCACGTATATCGTAAATCTTCAGTCAAAACCTCTTCAGTGAAAATTTGTTTTTCAGATGCTAATACTTAGCATTCTTTCATAGAATGTTGACTCATTTCTGCAGTAGTGACACTGGGTGGGAAATTCATTGTGGATTTTTTTCTTCAAAACCTGTGGATAAAAACCTCTCATCCTAAAACTGATGCTGACCTGAACAGACTTAAGCTTTACAATCTGACAGACCAGGCTAGGATTATTTTCTGCACAAGTTATTTTTTTCCCAGACTTCTTCACAAAGACTGCATTGTTCTAAGTGGCCTTTACATAACTGCTTGCGTGATTATCTCCAAAATATTTTGGGAAAGAAGCTGGATAAAGTTATGATGCAAGACCCCACAGATTTTTTTTTAAAATGCTTTTCTTTCTTCTTTTTGGTACGCAGAGTTTGTGAGAACAAAGTGACACAGCACAATGTTTGAAAGTGCATTTAATTATTAAATTTAAGTAATTCAACAATTTAACCATGTATTAAGGTTTCATCACTCACTGCTAAAGAAATGAGAGAAACTCATGTATGCAGTACAAAGTGGACCACACGCCTTACATCTTAGCAGATCTCAGCAGCGTATTTTTGTTTAGCTGGTAAAATGTAGCTTGCTTTCTTTTCTAAAACAAATTGCTATTGATTTTTCAACAAAATATAAACAAAAAATAGATTTCCCCACACTTCCCCACCTACCCAGGAACAGAAGATTGGTTTATCAGATTTTGCCATAAGTTTGTTTGTGAGTTTGGTGGGAATGTTCATTTGAATAGCTTACAAAAGGGTACCATATTTCAACAAAATCCTGCACATCACTTGCACTGTTCAGGGCAAGCATCTTTTTTGTTAGTTTTTCAGATAAGGCAGTTGTCTATACATTCAGTAGCCATCGTGTGATGTGGAAATGCTCCAGTCCTTTCCAGTTCTGTGCTGTTTTTCCATTTATTGTTTTTCCATGCCCTGTAAATTAAACAGCAAAAACAAGCTAAAATATGCTCACAATCCTATTTAGTGTGCTGCAGGAAGGGGAGAGTTTAACATCCTCACCCATTTGCCCTTTTCAATGTAAAAACTAGACACACATGCACCACAGCTGTAGACATGTGGGAAAGATTTGGGTTTAAGCCAACAAACCTGCCACTTCTTGTTTGTCCCTAAAATCATCCCCTGGGGAAGGATTTGAGGCTAGGTTCTCTCCCTTGGGGAAGGATTTGAGGCTAGGTCCAGTGTTCCCAGTTGCCAATCAAACCATGCTTCCTTCCAGTGGCAAACTCTGGCAGAAGACTGTGGCCAAATGGGGCCACAGAAAGAAGAGGGTGGTGTCTGTTGCTCAGTTAACTCTGAGGCTTTGTACAAAAACACTCTTGAAAACAATAAGGTTTCTCCCCCCACCCCACCCCAAAAAATGCAGTGAGGACCAAATATGTTCAGTAGCCCACAAAACGTAGTTTGACAATTGAAAAAGAAATGTCAGGAGAGTAAAAAGAGCTGTCTGGAACCCTGAACAGGAATACTGACAAGGAACTGTGGCGAAGACGTATCCTCGAAGCTTTGCATTTATGCAGAACCTCCTGCTCAGTCCAGACCCCTTGACCCAGAAGCTGCATAACCATTTACTCTTTGCCTCCCACCGTTTCTCCAGCAATCAAACCACAACATTCCTCCACTGCACTGGGCAAAAGTTCAAGATGGTTATTAAAAAACTAGTCCTCCAAATGCCAAACCTATATGGTAAATGCCTTTCGTGGAAGTGCTGCAATCTTGTCCGTACTATTTGTGCTTGTGTGCAATCTCGGCACTCAAAAGGAAGTCGACCCTCAACCTCCCCACCCCACCCCCTGACCACCAACTTACTTCCCTTTTAACATTAAGACTTTCTACCACTGATATTTTTACTTGGATCCATGTATAGCTATCTAGTTGATACCCTGATGGGTTACAATCTGTTTTCAGCAGCTGACCCAGACATAACATCACCGTTTCCTGATTAGATTGATATGGGTTTCTATTATTTGCCTTTTCTTTGCACCCTGAGAAACAATTCTTTTTTGTTGTTGTGCAGTAAACAACATTGCAAAGCCCATATTAAATCATAATTATTTACCATGCTGTTCATGCACCTTTGTCCCTGAGGAGTGTGGTGACGTGAATTTACAGGAAGATCGGGGTATTTCTCACCAACAGCTTCCTGTTATTGATATGCTTTTGTTCAGTTCTGATCCTTTTTTAAGCCTTTTGGATTCTCAAGGGAAAAATAAACTAGCACATTCCATTAATCACAGGAATGGAGCCCATAGTTGGGTGTCTTAACAAAATAGTTTTAATTCTGGCCACTGAATTCCGCACTATATTATGTCAGGGTTTAAAAATAAATGTGCATGTTTTTATTATTGTTTTGATTGCAGTGCTCAAAATCCCATAGCCTGGAGCTCAGCCATAGAGTATCTGCTTTGCATGCAAGCAGGACTGGCAGAGACCCCGGTCTAAAATCCTGGAGGTCTGCTGCCAGTCAGCGCTGACAGAACTGAGTAAGATGGACAAGTGGTATGACTTCATATATGGCAACTTTTATGTTCCTAGCTGAGAGTGCTCCAGAATAAGGTTGTGCATATGAATACGCCAGAATGGTGTCTTATTGCAGGTGTATTCTGCAACATGCGCTTGGCACAATAATATTTGCCTTAGCGGTAGATTCATTCTACTTTATTTTATTCTGTGACACTTCCCCGATGTATTAAGTGAAAAAAGTAAGCAACTGTTTTAACAGCAGAAATGTTTATCAGGCTTCCAGCCTCAGGTCATTTTCATGTCTTAACGAACAGTACTTCTGCCGTCTTCCTCACAAGGAAGGCTATTCATAGGACCTTTGGCTCCATTCTATCTGAAGGTCACATTGTTTACACCAATTGTGGATGAAGTTGCGCTTTTCCTGAGGAGAACACACTTCGAAGGGGGGGGTGGGGAACAGAATAGACTTCACCCAGCATAACATTGTTGACAAATCATGTATTTTAGTCACAACAGGGGTTCAAGTCATCAGTCAATAGGGCCCCTCCAGATATCCTTTTATTGTGCATTTATGATTATTTGTACTCATTATGCAGTATAGTATACAGTGGTACCTCAGGTTAAGTACATAATTTGTTCCGGCGGTCCGTTCTTAACCTGAAACTGTTCTTAACCTGAGGTACCACTTTAGCTAATGGGGCCTCCCGCTGCTGCTACGCCATCGCCACACGATTTCTGTTCTCATCCTGAAGCAAAGTTCATAACCCGAGGTACTATTTCTGGGTTAGCGGAGTCTGTAACCTGAAGCATATGTAACCTGAAGCGTATGTAACCCGAGGTACCACTGTAGTTAGTATAGTAGGAGTTCCAGACTAGCAGTGGGGAGAACTGGGTTTGAGTCCTATACAGCCAAGAAATTCACTAAGTGATCATTGGGCCACTCACTCTCTGAACCTAACAGGGTTGATGTAATGATGAAACAGTGTGTTTGAGCACTATCAGCACTTTAGTGGTAAACTGTGGGGGGAAAGTTAATAAACAGACCCTCCAAGTGTCCCTATTTTCCAGGGACAGTCCTGGATTTACAGAAGCCATCCTGGTTTCTGATTTGATCCTGGAATGTCCTGCTTTTCCTTAGGCCGTCCCTATTTTCATCGGAGAAATGTTGGAGGGTATGGAGTTATGCAACCTCCCGAGCCAAGGAGATAAGTAACTATATCATTTAGAAGACATCTGAAGGCAGCTTTGTAGAGGGAAGTTTTAAAATTTTTAATGTTTTATTATGTTTTCATATATGTTGGAAGCCGCCCAGAGTGGCTGGGGCAACCCAGTCAGGTGGTTGGGGTATAAATAACAAAATGGTGGTGGTGGTAGTGGTGGTGGAATAGGACGTCCCTACTTTCATGGGAGGAGAATATTGGAGGGTGTGAATAAATAAATAGTGACAGAGAGTAACCTACTTCCAGAACACATTAAGGAGCTAGAGTTCCTCTGCATGGGTTTTGAATACAGTGGTACCTCGGGTTACATACGCTTCAGGTTACATACACTTCAGGTTACAGACTCTGCTAACCCAGAAATAGTGCTTCAGGTTAAGAACTTTGCTTCAGGATGAGAACAGAAATTGTGCTCTGGCAGCACAGCAGCAGTGGGAGGCCCCATTAGCTAAAGTGGTGCTTCAGGTTAAGAACAGTTTCAGGTTAAGTACGGACCTCCAAAACGAATTAAGTACTTAACCTGGTACCACTGTACACTTGAACTCAGGACGAAAAGGAGAAATGCGCTAAGAGGAAGGCATGCTTGGCAAACCCTCACCATGATCAACTCACACCCAGAAACCTATGTCCCCACCATGGAAGGACGTGTGGATCTTGAATTGTCCTCCATAGTCACTTACGGACTCACTGTTAAAACCGTGTTTATGGAAGACAATCTTACTTGGCTATGAGTGATCACCAAAGAAGAAGACAGGAACAGGAAGTGTCTTGCAAGGAACATAAGAGCTCTGCTGAATCAAACCAATCCACTCCAGCGGCCTGTTTCACATCAGCCAAGCAGGACCTGAGCTTAATAGCCCTCTCCCCTCCTGTAATTCTCTACAACTAGCATTTAGTGGCAAACCACCTCCAGCAGTGGCTAATTGCCATTGATAGTCTTAAAAATGATGAAGGAGAAAATGTTCTCTCTGCAAAACAGCCAAAGGATTGCAACAGCTGTGAGCTAAGCAGAATACGTAGGCCAGCCTAAGAAGCGAAGTAGAATGAGGCAGATTGCTGTATAGAATAAGAGTTTCTTTTCAGTATAATTTTGACAGTAGCGCTGTGAAACACTATCCCCACTTGGAAATGCCAAATGTTTTGTTGGAGGGTGGAGTTAGGAATAGATAGGGCGGAAAATTTTGTTGCACGGTGGAAATTAGGAATAGATAGTCCAACCACTTAAATTGTAGGAAAAAAGAAAGAAAAAAGAGGACAGAGATTTGCATAAAATTTGCACATGGTAGTTGATATGTATAGTTGCAAATTTAGTTGCAAATCACTGCAGTGTGAATAGAAAGACAGCACAACTCAGCAAAGTGGGGGCAACTGTGACCTGGTGGTTTTTGTGCCTGACCAGTCTGCAGGTACCCAACTGTGGATGGGTAACTTGCTGAAGGCTCTCTGTTCTGGTGGTTCATTTTCTTTAAACTGGACAGCCCTCCAGAAAAATGATTACTTCTAAATAGAGGGTAAAGTAAAGGTAAAGAGACCCCTGACCATTAGGTCCAGTCGTGGCTGACTCTGGGGTTGCGGCACTCATCTCACTTTATTGGCCGAGGGAGCCGGCGTACAGCTTCCGGGTCATGTGACCAGCACGACTAAGCCACTTCTGGCGAACCAGAGCAGCAAATGGAAACGCCGTTTACCTTCCCGCTGGAGCGGTACCTACCGTATTTTTCGCCCTATAGGACGCACCGTCCCATAAGGCGCACCTAGTTTTTTTGGGGGGGAAATAAAGGGAAAAAATATTATTTCCCCCCCAGGCACGGGGCTGGGGCAGGGGAAGCCCGAGCTTCCCCCGAGCCCAGCCCCCAGAACAGGCAGCTCTCCGCAAGCCGCGGGAGCCCAGTGCCGGGCTCCCGCGCCTTGCGGAGAGCTGTGCGAAGCCTGGAGAGGGGTTGGTGCGCACCGACCCCTCTCGCTCTCCAGGCTTCAGCGAAAGCCTGCATTCGCCCCATAGGACACACACACATTTCCCCTTCATTTTTGGAGGGGGAAAAGTGTGTCCTATAGGGCGAAAAATACGGTATTTATCTACTTGCACTTTGCCGTGCTTTCGAACTGCTAGGTTGACAGGAGCAGGGACCAAGCAACGGGAGCTCACCCTGTCGCAGGGATTCGAACTGCCGACCTTCTGATCAGCAAGTCCTAGGCTCTGTGGTTTAACCCACAACACCACCTGCGTCCCAAATAGAGGGTAGTTCTCTATAAAGGAGCATACCCTCCAACATCCCAGTGAGGGAAATCGGGACACGACCTTGATGGATGCCCCCTCTCACTCAGACCCTGCCCCCCCAAGCTTCCTCCCATTGACATGCCCTTATGCACCTTCGCCCGCCTGCCCTTGCCCCGGTTGCTGCCACCTCAAGGGCCACAGTGGCTCAGCTTTCCAGCCAATGTACTTCCGGAAGTCAGCACCACACTTCCAGATGCTGGCACCGCTTCCGGAAGGAGGAAGAGGAGCGGGCGGTGCATGGGAGCCAAAACAGGACATTTGGGAATGGAATGAGAAGCCAGAGTGGCTTTTGTAAATCTGGGATGTCCCACTTACAATGGGACAGTTGCACAGTATGACGTAGGACACATGACCACCCTAAGTGGCAACCAGCATCCAAAATTCATCTCCCCCCCCCCCGCCAAAAGGATAATATCAGAACAATGTAGAATTTCAAGCCTGGCTTATCAATGTTCTCTAGGCCTCCTTATCTTTATGAAGCCCAGAATATTAGAAAGCTGAAAAGCATAAACAGTTTTCCTAAATAGACTAAAGCAAGAATCTCACTTTGCCAAGACAAACATGTCCTCCTTAAGCTGGCAAAGAGTCCCTGTGTTTCCTTTAGAGGAAAGGAAAGAATGTATGAAATGCACTCTATAAGGAAGAGCTATAAATGAGTGAGGGGATGCAGGAGGGGAAGCCAAGTGAAATCCAAAATAAAAAATCAGGAATAGAAAACTAAAAATAACAAGGAGGAAAATGTGTCACAGCTGTAGGGACCCTCTTGCATTCCTCTTTTTCCATTGTACTTCAGTCTTCAGGAGCATGCTAATATTGTTTCTGGATTTCAATAGCTTTTCAGTTTGTTTGTTTGTTTGTTTGTTTGTTTGTTTGTTTGCTTGCTTGCTTGCTTTGCTCTTCCAAAATAGGCCTTTTGCATGCAAGAGGGCAGACTCCTTTGATACGAGTTTCAGTCCATGTGTCCATTTTAAAAGGTACATTTCCTATGAGCTTGAAGAGCACAGAACTTACATCGTTTTGGAAATAAGAGAGGAAATTAAAGTTTATTTTTCCCAATCCTCTTACTGTGATAGTGTTACCTTCAATAGAAAGGGTCACTTATGCATTGTAAAAAAAGGGGGGGACGAAATATATTTGCATAAAAGTTGCAGATGCTAATGTCTATTTATGAAGAATTAGATATAGTGACTACAATTTAAGTGAAAATGCAATCCATTGTCAGCATAGTGGGAGGGGAAGACTTTGAGCAGGTGAGCTGTGTGGCTGCTCAGTTTGCTGTCCTGGTGCTATTGACCATGTTTGGCACCAGCTGGACTGCAGGAGTTTCCGGAAGGAGGCGAACAAGGCACCATTCAACTGTCTTAGGGGCTCCACTCCCAATTTGTGTAGGGTTTTCTCCTTGGACTATTCTTCTCCCGAAACTATCCTGCAAGGCAGTGGAAGTTTAGGATCAGAGTTTTCCTTCTCCTAGATGGGCTACCAGTTGATGAGCCCCATGTGCCCCTCACTTCCCTCTACAGCACATGCAGAAACTGCCTTCTTGACTATTGGACCCACTATATTGGTCTCATCAGCTCTGAGAACATAAGAGCCCCATGGGCTAATAGCATCCTGTTCTCATAATGGCCAACCAAATTCCTGTGGAAAGACTGAAAGCAGGACAGAACTCTCCCCACTTGAGATTTCAAGCAACTGGCATTCAGAAGTACAGTTGTACCTCGGGTTACAAACACCTTGGGTTACAAACACTTCGGGTTACAGACTCCACTAACCCGGAAGTAGTATCTCGTGATGAGAACAGAAATTGTGCGGCAGCAGTGGGAGGCCCCATTAGCTAAAGTGGTACCTCAGGTTAAGAACGGTTTCAGGTTAAGAATGGACCGCCGGAACGATTTAAGTACGTAACCAGAGGTACCACTGTACACTGCCTCCAACAGTGGAAGTACTGCAATCTGTAATACAGTCTATGAAATAAGAGGTTACTTGTTATCCCTGGATTCAAAACATTTGGTTTTAGGCTGTGTAAAAATAGCTTATTTCTGCGCTAGAAATAGACTCTGAAGTAATAGTTAACTTAGTGACAGCAGCGGAAAATCTCCATAGCCAAAAAATGGAAGAAAAGTAACCCTCCACCTGCAGCAGAATGTTTGATAAAATCTGTTCTGAAATAGTAATGGTTAAGAGGACATATTTGAGAAGGAGCATCTAATGAGCAAAGCAAATAAGCTTTTGGAACATTGGTTGCTTTTCATCATGTTTTGGAATGATAGGATAATGTGCGTTTTGTGTTACCATAAACATTTCATTTGTACATTGGTGTAAAAACAAGAAATCAACTGTGTACAAAGAACAAACACAAAATAGGCAGAATTTAGGTATTGTGACTTACTGGAGGAAGAAAGAGGTGCTGTGAACTGAAAAGACAAGCATCATCAGCACAACAGTGACCGACTGTTAATTGCACAACATATTCTATCTGTGGCTACTCAAAAGTTAAGACACACTGTATTTCCTAACTGTAACTTCCACTTAAATGTTCAGAAGATTGCAGCCTATGTCAGTGTTCTTGTTCTGTGTATGTGATTGTTCTGTGTTGTATTTATTTGTGGTTAAGTTTTAGAATATTTTCATCGTGTTTTAAAACTGTTGTTAGCCATCCTTAGCAATAGCAGGAGAAAGAGTGAAGTATAAGAAGGATTAATGAATAAATAATATTACTCCAATGGGAAGATTTAATAACACTCCTGTGTACCAAAGACTATGCATCTTTGAGTCGGGAGACGTGGAGGACATTCAACCCTTTTTGCTACGATGCCCTTTATATACATCCCCTAGACAAAAATTCCTTGATTACATCCTTTGCTCTCTCTCTCCAGTTGACCTCCCCTTGAGCAAATCTCTATTTTCCTGGCTGGCAATAACGTACCATATTTATAACTGCAGACAGGTTGCAAAATTTGCCTTGGCTGCAAGTAAGTTGAGAGCTAGGCACCAAGACAAGTATCATAAGGGTGTGTGTGAGAAGTGGAGTGCTTTAAACTATGCAGGTGTGATATTTTGCATTTCTGTATGTTTGCTTTGCTGTTGTTGCTGTTCAGTTTTAAATTAATTATTTGTATTTTACACATTGTGACCAATTGTGATGGCTTACAGCTTTTAGCAATAAAGATTTCATTCATTCATTCAGTACTCTGCATTATCAGTGCACTCCTATGCATATTGATACAGAACTAACTTCTGGCGTTTAGGATAGCAGTCATAAAGAATGAAAAGATAAATGGGATGTATGAAAGTCTGCACGTGTGGTTTTCCTGTGTGAATCATTAAGGGACTACCGACAAAGCATTGCACATTAAAAATATGTTTGCATGGTTGCAGATCTCTGCTTGTCAGTATTTTGAATAATGTCAAAACCTATAAAAATTAATATAGCGTTAGCACAATCATTTCATTCAATTGCGTTTTTCTTCCAAGAGATCATTTATTCAGAGGAACCCCAAAATCAGATAGTTTCGTTTTGACCTCTTATGACAAGCAAAACACATCCATAAATACCCAACTGTAAGCCTTCTAAGAGCCTGTCAATGAACCAGTTTCAACTTGGAAAATTCCTGTTTTCTCTAGACACAATAAAAACAGGAAATATTTACCAAATTCCCAGGTGTCAGGAAATACTTTCAAAACATTGTGGTGATCAAAAACAGACCATTTAAAGACATCCGATGCTGTGTGCAGGTGTTAATAATGGTATTTTCATTCAAAATATATGCTTTGGCACCCCGGAGATGGATTAATCCATGCTCTTTTGCACCCTATAAAAGTTCTGTTCATGCTGATCCTCTGATGACAGTGATAAGAAAGTCAGTTTTTCATACTCGTGCCCATGAATTTTGAGCTATTTGTGTTTCAGCCTGAACTACACTAGCTACAATTTTGTAACCTTAATTGTCATTAGAATAGCTTTATTTATTTTTAAACTTATTAACAGCAGTGTGTATGTCACCAAGTTATAAAAAGGAAGAAGATCAATCTCTGAAGAGCTGGGGGGACACCCCAGAGCAGTGGGACTGCGGGCATGAGAAGGGGAAGTCCCATTGTCCAAGTCCGCTTAGAGATGGGGGGGGGAATTTAATTCAGTCCCCCTTTAAAATGAAGCTGCTTAATTTGCATTGTCCAAAACAGTGTGCAAACACGACACAGTTGTCCTTTTAAGCAATGTGTGCAAAACTTTACATACTAGGAGAAAGTGTGCATATAAATGCATATATCAGTGAAATAGTATGCAAGAATAAATACGATTAAGGAAAATACAAATATTGGGGGAAATATGCTTTGCAAAAATGTGCATGTTAGGCAAAATTGCATACAAAAATATTTATATCAGGAGAAATTCACATTAAGATTCTGATGATTTTTTATGAGAGCTTTAAAAAAAAAACCTCAAAATTTGGGCAACTGATCTTAAAACAGGAAAAACAATAAACTGAAATTGACAAACTTTCCTATGGCATAGGATTTCACCTACAGAGCCATGCTTGCAAATACTGTAAACTAGAGAAGGAAGGCAGCAAACTGATCAATTTATGGAGTCTTTTTATCCTTTATTCAGTATGACAAGATTCAGAATGCATTCCGGCCTCATTCAGCTCTCTGTTGTGGGTATGTGATCCTTAGTCACTGATTGTGTCAGAACCTTTTATAGAATGCATTTTGGATTATGCCTCCAGCCACCGTTGCATGACATTGACCAGCCTTCAAGACCAGCCTTTATCCAATGACCTCTACAGAAGCCAGGATTGTCTCACTAAAGAGGAAGCTGTTTGAGGTGAAAGGGGCCCCCAATAATTAGAAATGGAGACCTCAAGTGAAATAAATCAATTTTCCAGTGTATAGAACCATAGAATTGTAGAGTTGTAAGGGACGCGGGTGGCGCTGTGGGTTAAACCACAGAGCCTAGGACTTGTCAATCAGCAGGTCAGCAGTTCGAATCCCCGCGACGGAGGTGAGCTCCCGTTGCTCAGTCCCTGCTCCTGCCAACCTAGCAGTTCGAAAGCATGTCAAAGTGCAAGTAGATAAATAGGTACCACTCCGGCGGGAAGGTAAACGGTGTTTCCGTGCGCTGCTCTGGTTTGCCAGAAGCGGCTTAGTCATGCTGGCCACATGACCCGGAAGTTGTATGCCGGCTCCCTCGGCCAATAAAGCAAGATGAGCACCGCAACTCCAGAGTCGGTCACGACTGGACCTAATGGTCAGGGATCCCTTTACCTTTACCTTTAAGGGACCACACCCCCTGCAACACAGGAATCTTTTGCCCAATGTGGGGCTTGAACCCGTAACCCTGAGACTGAGTCTCATGTTTTACCGACTGAGCTGGTTTTGCTCTGCCTTAAAAATGGAAAAAGGAATGTAACTCAAAATTAGATTATATGCAGAAGGTTCCAGTTTCAATCTCTGACACTTGTTGTTGTTTAAAGGATCACAGCATATTGTGACATCAAGTATTGCAGGGATGGCTAACGAGTGGCCTTCCAGATGTTGTCAGACTACAACTCACATCACCCCTAACTATCATGAACAGAATGTGGAAGCAATATGTTTCTATCTGATTTATTGGGCAATAATACACATAGACACTTATAAACATTGAGCTTATTACATGCACATTCAAAGATCCATCATAGTCACAAATATCTGACAAAGAGCAACAATAAAAGAACTAAATTCATGAAAGTATTCACAGCACTATTTAAATAAACTCTCTCATTATGCCTGCCAAACCACATTTATTTGACTAAAAATTTCCCGGAGGAGCCTCAAATCTGACTTGCTTCGAAATGATCCATTGACTTACACAGGAATTGTTTGCACTTTTCTGTGCTGCTGATTGTGTTGGCGCTTCCATTGTGAACTCCTGTCTTCAGACTGACAACTCAGCCTTACAAATTGAAGCCAGTCTAAATGTTGGTCTACTGCAGCAGGGAAAAATTGGTTCAGCACCAATAAATACATTAAGAGGCCTAAGGGGCTGCCCCTAACTTATTTTTTATACTTTGATGACCTGTAAGAGTTTCCTCTTATAAAAACTCCACGTCTCCTACAGAAAGTTCATTTTAATTCCAGCTTCCTTCATTCTGTTTCCACAGATGCATTATTTACAATATTTGCTCTAGTGTTTTTACATAATCAGTAGCTCATATAATCTACTTAGCAGTTGAATCACTGTTTAAAACTGCTGTAAATCTGCCTGGGTTTGTCACAGTTGAGATGTGTATTATGAGCTGTGGAAAGTTAGCTGGTGGTCTTTCCTGTGTAAAAGGAACCTAATAAAAATATGAGGGTGCAATCCTGCAGACAAGCGGCCTTAATCCCATTGAATTTGATGGGATTTATATCACTGAAATATGTGATTTTAAGCCACCATTTAACACTGAACGAAGGGCACCTAAGGGCATGGACACATTTTCAATTGGGTAAAGGCAGCAATGCGCACTTACCAGAGAGTAAGGCCCATTGAACATAGTAGCATGTAACTCCAAGTAAACATACACAGGATTCAACTGCCTGCAAGTTTAGCTGTGTCTTGGATAGTGACTGTGCAGCCTGATCCTAGGCATGCTTACACAAAAATAAGTCTCACTGAATTCCATGGCTCTTACTTCCATGTCAATATGCGTAAGACTGTAGTCTTCATATTCAAAATTAATACTGATTTTAGTCCCTTTTATTACATTCATCAGTCTACCAGGATATCAGCTATAAAATTTACATTTCCTAACTTTGGTGGACTTCTGTCACCATAGAATTCCTATGTTTTAAATGAATGAATATTTTGTGTAGAGCTTGCAGATTTGAGATGACTCCTAGATTCATGTGTCCTTTCAAAAAAGTTTACATTCAACAGTTCATAATGTACTTTAGTATTCTAATGACAATTAAGATGTGTTCTTTAAAACATGTACACTGTACACAGTCTTATACTCTTTTCTTGAAGTTACAGACTGGATTCGGTTATTTGTTTATTACACATTACTATTTCCTTTGCTGGAGCAGATTGCTGAACATTCATTATAAATGTGAAGAAAGCACATCAGTTTTGAAAGTCCTTCCTATATAGGCTAATATCAGCGAGGGTTTAGCCATTTCGTTATTGGAGAGTTAATGGCTTTTTCTTTGACAAAATCCTCTTTTACAGAATTGCCATCACCGGATCCCATGTCATTCTCTGAAAGTTTAAAATAGAGAAAGATTATTAAATAATTTCCCCCCATTCCTTTGTGTCTTCATCTAGAACAGGGAACCGTTGGCCCTCCAGATGCTGCTGAACTACAACTCCATCTGCCCCAGCAAGCATGGTCGATGGCGATGGATGATGGGAGTTGTAGTTCAGCAATATGGGGAGGACCACAGGTTCTGCACACCAGATCTAGAAGATATTTAAATATCATGGCTACAATCATGGAGACCTTGTCCCTCCATCCTCTTCTAGTCTTCAGCTTAACAATGCATCTGGACATCATTCTGTGCAATATCTCCCACTACCATACATAGATCTAACCCAAACTTGGGTCTCCAGCTGTTTTTGGACTACAACTCCCATCATCCCTAGCCAGCAAGACCAGTGGTCAGGGAATTGTAGTCCAAAAACAGCTGGAGACCAAAGTTTGGGAAGCACTGATCTAACCAATCTGCCTCAGGGGTCCCTTCCAACTCTACAATTCAATGACTCTATGATTCTATGCCCTTCAACAGGGGTCAGCAAACTTTTTCAGCAGCACCACTGTCCCTCAGACCTTGTGGGGGGGCGGACTATTTAAAAAAAATAAAATGAATGAATTCCTAAGCCCCACAAATAACCCAGAGATGCATTTTAAATAAAAGGACACATTCTACTCATGTAAAAACACACTGATTCCCAGACCGTCCCCAGGCCGGATTGAGAAGATGATTGGGCCGCATCTGGCCCCTGGGCCTTAGGTTGCCTACCCATGCCCTTCAACAAGGCTGTGCATGCAAAGTAAGTTACTTGCACATGCAGCCCTGGAGAGGTGCATGTGGTTGTGTAGTCTGATGACTGGGTGTTATGGATCTCCAAAGCACAACTATGTTAATCTCTTGGGACAAAGGCAGCAAGGAGTCTTGCCGGCCAACAGATGCAGAAAGCCCACAGGTTCATCCCCTGGTTTCTCCAGCGGGGGTCTTCTGTCTGAAACCCTGGAGAACTATTGCCGGTCAACATAGATGGCCATTGATCTGACTTGGTATAAGGCAGTTTCCTATGCTCAGATGCTCCTATCAGAAAGCTCCCCTGCATAGTGCCATGGTGCTCATGCACAGCTCCTGTTCATTCAACACACTTCCACAGGAGGATGCTCTACTGCTTGGATGGGAACCTCCAGACATGGTTGCGCTACAACTCTCATCATTATTGGCTGTTGTCTATGCCGGCTGGAACAGACAAGAGGTGGAGTCCAACAACGTCTGCAGGGACCAGTTTCCCCATTCCTGCTTTGAGAAATTAACACATACCTGCATGTGGAATTAGCTTTAGTCTGCTGGGGGGCTTTGATGCAGCCAGTTGGAAAAATGAAAATTTCAGACATTTCCCAGTTACTCTGTCGCATATGCCAGACTGGCAGTTGCAGGTTCTTCGGCACTCCAGTCCATAGGTCCCATACGGACACTCTGGAAGACAGAAAAAGAAACAGCAGTGAATCTATTATGAATCACAGGGGGTTGGACTAGATGACCCTTTGGAGACTTTCCAGTTCTACAATTCTATGATTCTATGATATGGAAGACTCTGATTATATACCTTGAACTTCACTTCTCTCCCCCCCCTTAATGATTCAAAGATCTTCATAATAAAACAATTTGAAAAGCAATATGAAAGCAATTCGAGAAGCAAAAAGCAACAATGCCAACATGTGTTTAGATATCTTCATATATTTTCCACAGTTGCAAGCATGTTAATAATATTACTTTATTACTTGCAAAGATATGTTCAGTTAAATTGTTTCCTTTGCCTTTCCTGAAGGCTAAACACAGATTTCAATCTTCTAAAAATATATAATAAGGAGGAACAAAGGCTGCTAGCTAGAGATAAACTGGTTGGAATTAAACAGTTATCTCTGCCGTGTCATGAAGTAACAAATTGTTACGTTATTTATTAGATTTATTAGGTTAGCGAGCTTTGTTGTGATTGAATTGCTGCTGCCAAGGCAAAGGAAAGCTGCTTGTGGGATATTCTGCCTAAATTGCCAAAATATTTGCCAGGTTTAGGTCCCTTGTATTTTGGCTTTTTGGGGAGGGAGGGTGTTGCTTTTTGATGCTGTACCTCAGGCAGGAAAATGCCTTTGTCCAGCAGCCCTATCTAGGGCTTTCCCCCATCACCCACCAGATCAGGACTCCTGTAGCAGTATGGTTTTCTCTCTCTGTATTATAATACAGAACGTTGCCTATGGTCCTCTATATGATCTGCATTAGCGTTTTTATCTACTGAATATTTTTGGGAGTTTTAGATGGTAAGTGCCACAGAACCGCACTGCCCTCTCCCATTTGCTATGCTGGACTATAGCATTTAAGCAGTGGACTAAACAAGCGAAGCTGGATGCCATGGTTTACTGACAGAGGCTGTTTTGGTGTGAATGGAACAGGAAATGAAAAAGCAAATATTACAAGATGGCCTTTCCTTCTTACCACAAATAGTGACGGCCCCAAGTTACCCAGTGAGCTTTGTAGCTGAGTGGAGATCTGAAGCCATATCCCCACACCCCAGCCAAAGTCTGACACTAACCACTACATATTTAAAGCTTGATAATGTGCCAGGAAGACAACTAAAAGGTCAGTCCCCTTGCAAGATGTTGGATGCTGCTTTGACGCAGCAGCAGAAAGCAATTCCACGCTCCTGAAATGAAAGCAGGCCGTGAAGCGGGTTTTCATTTACATCCATTTGAAATGCAAACATAAAATCTCCATTGGCTAAAACACACATAAGAATTGTACTCCTATGAATCTCTTCTAATTACTCTTCACTTGCAGTGATCGCACCACCATATATATTGTGCAAGGGAGACTCAGGGGGCTTCCAGGCAGTTGCTATTTTTGAGTGGGATTCATTCACTTACTGGCAAATTCAGGGATGCAATTCAAGTTGGTTGGGAGGTCTTTCACAACATAGCTGCCCCCTATTCCCCCCACCCCAAAAACCCCCAAACTATTTGTTATAAAAAAAGTGATGGGGGCAGGAATGCATGGAAGTGCATGAGAAAACATGTGCTTGATGCAACGCCCCATAACCTCCCTGCAAACATATCAGAGTGAATGCTCAATAAATCTCCAAAGATTCTCTAATCTCCCTGCAAACAAATTAGGAGAAATGAGCAGTGAACAGGCTGTCTGGACTCTGGAAGCAACCTCAAAAGTCATTTAAGCCTTGCCTAAGAAACCACTCAAGTACCTCCTTCCAACTAGGACTCATCACCTACAGGGACATGCTTTCGTAGATGGGTGAGGAATTCTTGCATGTGAACCTTTTCAGGGTCCCACACAACCCATTCCAGGCTGCTCTTGCGTAGCTCTTTAATAAGCTGTAATCAGGCTGCTTGGGAAAAAGTGTGGGAAACTGACTGCAGCACCTCCTCTGACTCCCAGCCTCTTTCAAACAGGTGATTAGCTGGTTTGAAGCTTATTTTACAGGAAGGTTCTCGTTCCCCATTGGATCAAAACGTAAGCCTGCAAGCCTAAGCACCTAAGTAAATGCATGGGACCTGCAACATAATGTTGTCATGCCCAGTGATCCTATTCAGATTACTAGACACGCCATTCCATTCCCCCCACCCCTCAGTCAGTAGTCCAATGTTGTTGTTGTTGCAGTTCTATAAACTTTGGATTCTCCCAAGCCTCTGGTGCAAAGAGACCACTCCTAGAGACCATGAGGCTTTCGGTCCCCCACAACAAAATATTTGAGGGGGCTGGGCCGCCGCAAAGTTGATGGGCATTCCCATTCAAATGGTGCTTGTGCACTGCGTCATGTGATCAATTTTGCAGGGTGGGGCTTACCTGGGCCCCCACAATATTTTATTCAAGTTGGCACCCCTGGTCTGGCGTACTGATAGTGCCAGTTATAACATAAGTTCACTATCAGTGATCATGTTTCCACTGAATTACGATCTGCAGCGTACATTTAAAGCATACTGATGCACATTTAAAGCAAATGGTTCCCCGAAGAACCATTCCTGGGAATCTAGTTCCACCCTCATAGAGCTACAGTTCACAGCATCCTTAATAAACTACAGTTCCCAGAAGTCTTTAAGGGAGAGCCATGGGCTTTAAATGCACAATGGGTGCACTTTTAGTGCAAAGAGAGTGCTGAGAACATCAAATGAGATTACGGTAACTCCCAGGGAATATGTCTAGACTTTAAGGATGCAGTCCTTGCAGTCCTAAGTATACTTACCTGGGAATGACCTGCCTTCCTGCACTGTCTATATTGGCTCATGTGCAAGCATGCTAACCTGCGTTTCAAATCACTTAGGCCATCAGAATCCTATAAATAATAATGTCTTTTTTTAGCAGCCAGCTTTGAGGAATCCAAAACCCGGCTTCCAAAAGCTATTACCCCCTGGGCAGAAACCATAAGGACATGTACATTTTCATAGAATCATAGAATTGGAAAAGACCTATAGAGTCATCTAGTCCAAACCCCTGACACTGCAAGAATCTCAACTGTCAATGGCCATCCAATCTCTTTCTCTCAGAAAGTTCTTCCTGACGTTTAGTTGGAGTCTCCTTCCTTATAACTTGAAACCATTGGTTTGGGTCGCAGCTTGCTCCATCCTCCATGTGACAGGCTTTTAGTTATTTGAAGATGGCTATCACATCTCCCCTTTACCATGCTAAATATACCAAGTTCCTTCAACCATACATCATAGGGCTTGGTTTCCAGACCCTTGATCATCTTGGTTGCCCTCCTCTGCACGTGTTCCAGCTTGTCAATATCCTTCATAAATTGTGGCACAGGTGTGATCTCACCAAGTCAGAACACAGCTGTACCATGACTTCCTTTGATCAGAACACTATACTTCTGTACATTTCCAGGCACCTAACAATCTGTATATTAGGTTACATATTAAGCAGAGTAAAAGTGGTAGGATGGACTAGTGTATGCAATTTCAGACTGGAGATGGGAGAATGCAATTTTTAAATGAGCTCCCTGTATATTATAGTGGTTAGAGTGTCTGAGAGGGCCTGAGAGACCAGGGTTCAAATCCACATTTCATCATGAAGCTCACTTGGGCCAGTCACTGCCTCTCAGCCTAACCTACCTCAAAGGGCTGTTGTGGGGATTAAAAGAAGAGGGGCAGAACCATTTATGCTATTTTGAGCTCCTTGGAGAAAAGGATGGAATATAAAAACAATAAAAGAGAAAGGAAAGGAAAAAAAGATTCTGCCCATATATGTCAAACTAGTATCAAACTAGTTCATTAGAGAAAAAGGTTTAACATTTTAATATGAGACGGCACTCAGCATTTTTTTTTTAAAAAAGTTCATTCACACCTCATGGGCAGTCTGAAGCGGAACAGTCAAAAATTGTATTACCTTTATCTGACAAAGTATGTACATTGCTTCTAACAAAGTTGGTGCCAAGAAGGGCTGTATCTCTGACAGTACAAAGCACCTGTTAGGTGCTGGGGAGGGGGGGAGAGGCACCTGCAGGGATATGAAGGCTCACAGCACCCCTCTTGATGCTATGGAAGCTCTGCACACCTGGGATAGCTTTTTCTGGTTCAAGAAAACAGATTGCATCCAATTCAATGTGATTCTGAGTAGACTCATTGGCATTAATCAACCTAAATTAGTCGTGCCCATTAATTTCAACGGGTTTGAGTATGACTAACGTTGAATATCACCCTGTATCTTCACCCCACAAATCTTTTGTACCACAACTCCTGTTGTGGAGTGCAGGCTACGTTCTCTTGGTCATCTATGCTCCTGGTCGGACATCTTCACCTAGGACCACCCTCCTGAGAGATTTTCGCTCTGTGCATCTCTCCCAGTCAATCACTAAATGTTGTTCCTGATAAAAGTGTCCTTTTCCAAATGGATAAGCCCTGGATAGTTTCTGGAAGGTACGGGGCCAACATAAGAGTTGGTTAGGTTTAAGACCTACCTCAGCCATAGATTTCACTGGCAGCCTCAAGCAACCCTGCCTCAGCCTCCATTTGCAAAACATAGAAATTACAACCTACCTTACCAAACTGTGAAATGAAAGCACTAGACATAATATTGATTTAGCAATAAATAACCATATGTGTCTGTCTCCATCTCAGAGAGGCTTTTGCTATGCCAGGATAATTCAAATGTGGATGGGTGTTGCTGTTGCTTTTAAAATAAAGAGTACTAATTGTGTATTTCTGGATGAAATCACCAGCCACTACACATGGAGAGTAGTATCATCCTAATTGTCATGACTGGCAGTTTTATCGAGCGACTGTCCTTTACCTTTGCAGATACCGAACTCGTCACCAAAATCATCCTCTTCGGAAAAAAACTGGCACTTCAATCCGGGGCCGCATTTCACGCCGTCCATCCCTGCGACGGTCCGGTAGCACGTCTCTCCCAAGGCCGCAGCACAGACTCTGCAGCAGCCGCAGTCATCCAACACCTGCTTCTTACAGTGCACCAGGCTTTTGCATTCACTGCTGTTGCAGGACTCGGGGCAGTCCACAGCATACTTGGTACTCCAAGTAGGTCCAGCATTCGTGGGTACCAAAAAGAGAGTGAAGACCAAAAAACGATTCATGTCTTTTGGTGCTAGGTGCACGGTTTCCACTGCAGAAGAGCAGGTTGAGAAATTTAGCTCTGAGGTCTTCTGCTGCTGCTGGGACGTAGCAGTGAAGGACCAGAAGTAGTAGCTGGGAGATCAGCTTGCAGTTTTTTGAGCCTTTATACAGCCTACTGCTCACCAGGCCTGCCGTCGTCAATTTCCTCAAGCTGTCTTCTTGCCAGCCTCCCTTGTTTTACTTTGCGAAATCCAGGATGAAGGTTGGATTAGCACGCTGCTGCCATCCAGGAATTGAAAAGCCTGAGCTGATGTAATCTGTTATGTTTAGTTGGGTTGTTTTCCAGTGAGGGCTGAAAACTCTCATATCCGTCTCAAATGCTCAAGGATGTCTGCCAGAAAAGTGCACGGGGGTGGGGTGGGGAGGAAGAGCAGTAGTAGGTTACATACCTTTCCTTCAGGACAACATTGGCTCGATCCCCTTGCAAATCACCCTTTCCACTCACAAAAGCAGCTCCCGAAGTCAGAAAGAGAGATCGCATATCAAACTACATAGCTGCCATGGTCAATTCATTTTCTAAACCCCTGCTACCAACCTTGGTAATGTAAAGCGATGTCTTGTTACTTTAAAGTAACCTTCCCTGACCTTCCAGATGTTTTGGACGGTGGATCCCATCAGTCCTGGCCAGCATGGCCAATGTTCATGGGAGTTGTGCTCCAACAACATCTGGAGGAACCCAGGTTGGAGAAGGGCGCTTTAAAGAAAAAATATGGCAGCACACCTGCTAAAGGTAACTCTTATTTAGAACAAAAAGAATAATCCTGTCAACATTTAGGTTAGGTAGTTAACTGAGGCACTGTGTTCAAAGAGACATGCCAAAGACAACAAAGTAAGATAGGTGTCAAGGTCTTGTGTTTTCACCTTCAGATATCTGACAGTCATCAGTTCAGTATCTTTTGGCTGATTTGCTGTTCCCAGGAGCAGAGGACCAATTTATGGGCATGATTCTCTGCCAAGGCTCCAAGTTATCTTAAGGCCACAGGGAAGGGCTGCAGCTGAGCGCTAGAGCATCTGATCTGCATGCAGGCAGTGTCAAGTGCGTGCCAGGTGAGGCTGAAACAACGCAACCTCCTGCTCCTGAACTCCATTGACTCTGGTGGAGAAATTTCAGGTCGTCCATTGGAGAAAACCAAGGCTAAATGTTCACATTTCTTTCTGTTCAAATGGCATTCAGGCTTTCATAGCCATTGCAAGGAAGTGCCAAGAGAACAGCTGCTCAAACTCAGGAGGTAGGACAGAGATACTCTGCTCATGAGAATCATTGCTGAAGAGAAATAAACCTTGGAAGGCGATGGGCCTTTCTTACTTCTAATTAGGAATTTGAATCTTTTCACGTTTCTATTATTAAGTGCCACTTAAAGTAATTTTGAACATGACAACAGTGGGGAAGGAGCATGACATGTAAGTGCTGTTCACTTCTCATTGCCTTGCTCCTGCCTGTTCCAGAGACAATCTCCCCATCCTCAGCGATGGACACTCCACCAGGAGAGATGCAAAAGTTTCATTTTGTGGGGAATTCACACAAGGAAGCACAAGACCCTTGGAACAGCTGCTTCTCTTGAGTCATCATGAGCCACCCTGAGAGTCTCCTTGGATGTTCCAGAACATAAGAACCACACCCAGAATACTGGTCAAAACGCACCCGGTGTACTGTGTCCAATTTTGGGCACCACAATTTAAGAAGGGTGTTGACAAGCTGGAACATGTGCAGAGGAAGGCAACCAAGATGGTCAAGTGGCTGGAAACCAAGCCTTATGAGGTATGGTTGAAGGAGCTGGGTATGTTTTTCCTCTGGAAAAGAGGAGACTGAGAGGAGATATGATAGCCATCTTCAAATATCTCAAGGGCTGTCACATGGAACAGGGAACAAGCTTGGTTTTTTTCCTGCTCTGGAGGATAGAACTCGAACCGATGGTTTGAAGTTACAAGAAAGGAGATTCTGACTAAACATCAGGAAAAACCTTCTAACAGTAAGAGGTTTCCGGCAGTTGAATGGTCTCCCTTGAGAGGTTGTGGACTCTCCTTCCTTGGAGGTTTTTAAGCAGAGGTTGGGTAGCCATTTGTCATGGATGCATTAGTTGAGATTCCTGCATTGCAGGGGAAATATTGAATACAAGAATGACAGAGGGCTATGGGGATGTGGAGCATTAGAGTCACAAACATACCAGAGGTTCTTTGGGCAGTCATGACCATGGGTATTTCAAGTGATTGCAGATTTGCTATGCAAATTCAAGAACATCTAACTCGTCCAGAATGTGGCATCCATGGTGTGATTTATTTTCTTTTAAAATAGAAGCTATTACCCAAATGTGGCTTCCAAGAAAATACAAAGACGTTTGGAACCAGTTTGGAATGTTGGAATGTTGGTGATGATGACTCACAGAACCTCTTCCCCCTCCCTTTGCTCCTTTTCTCTGGCAACCCAACTGGCCCACCCAGCACCCACACCCTTCCTCTCCTTCTGTTCTTTTGGCCTTCTCCTTGCCAACAACTTCTGAAAATATTGAACTATTGTCACGGAGCAAAGTATGCCAAACTGAGTGAATATACACAAAGCAGGTTTTATTCCTAGCCTTTATTGTGAGCCCAGAATGTGCACTTCTGCACTTCCTAGGCTGTCGATTTCAGCTTTGCCTTGTGCGAAACATATGTGATTTGGAGTCAAGACAACTGATTTTTAATTTTAAAATTACAAATTTATAAGCCGCTTCAGAGCAGAAGCTAACAAAGCACTGTAGATAAGAAGCAAGAGGTATAAAGTGACGTCACATCAAGAGGGCATTTATACAACCACTCCACATGGCGAAATTTGGCTCACCATGATGCTGGACTATCCTAAGCCATAAGAAGAGAGGCAGCTACCTTATACTGAATCAGAAAATTGGTCGGCATAGCTTAGTATTGCCTGCACTGACTTGTATTGGCTTTCCAGGATTTCAGGCAGGGGCCTCTCTCAGTCCCTCTTGACTGTGAGTCCCAGAATACCTGCTCCCTGATTTGCAGGCCTTTCCCCACCTGCCCTAGAAGGTCAGGGCCCTGACTGACTCCAGCTACAGAAGCCGAGGCTGCTGAAGAGGCTAGAGACCCTCCTGGCTGTGAGTCCTGGAAGACCTTACAGGCCTTTTTCCACCAGGCCTGGGAGTGCGGGGCCCTGACTGACTCCAGCTACAGAAGCTGAGGCTGCTGAATTGACTCTCGGGCTGGAGCATTGTTGGGGCTGCTGCTACTGCTGCTGGGCTTTTTTTTTGTACAGTGGTACCTCAGGTTACATACGCTTCAGCTTACATACGCTTCAAGTTACAGTCTCCGCTAACCCAGAAATAGTGCTTCAGGTTAAGAACTTTGCTTCAGGATGAGAACAAAAATCGTGCTCTAGCGGCGCGGCGGCAGCAGGAGGCCCCATTAGCTAAAGTGGTGCTTCAGATTAAGAACAGTTTCAGGTTAAGTACGGACCTCTGGAACGAATTAAGTACTTAACCCGAGGTATCACTGTATCTTTATTTTAGATCTTGTGATTTATGTGGAAATCGTTCAGTTTGGTTGTGTATTATTTAATGATTTATTTATTGCTTGTGACTATTTCTGATACGTTGCCTTTATGTATGTTGTTCACCTTATAAGCCGTCTTGAGCACGGTTTGAACTGTGGAAAGGTGGAATAAATGAAATGATGTATGCATGTATGTCAGTCATGTTGGAAGTTGCCAGGGATAGAACCTGAGAGCTCCTATGTGCAACAGCAGATGCACTACCACTAACACCACATGGGCAGTGGCATCACAACGGGGGGGCGGTGCGCCCCAGATGCTATGTCTGCGGGGGTGACAAGAAGTCACCCCGCCGGGGCTCGTGGTAGCGCAAGCAGCCACCGCGCCACTGCAGCCACATGTGAAGAATCCTCCGTTCACAGCTGCAACAGCTATGTACAGCGCATGTGTGGCGTCACTACGTACGGCACATGCGTCATATGTAGTGACGCCACACTTGTGCCCTACGTAGCGATGCCCGCCCCGGGTGTCACAACGCCTTCCTTTGCCCCTGCGCATGGGCTCAATTTGGAGGAGAACACCAGCATCACTTAGGTTCAGCAAATGAAGATTTTTTTGATCATTCCATCCTCAAAGCTCTGTAACTGCCTGCTTGGAAACAATGTCATTTCATTTTTATTCGAGCAGCTGATTCAGGTGGAAGCCAAAAATATTTTGCAACATAAATAAAAAATACTGTTTTGTTAATCACAGTAATGCATATAATATTTCAGAGATTAGTTGAATGACATGCTTGCATGACATGCTGTTTGATGGTGTGTGTGTGTGTGTGTGTGTGTGTGTGTGTGTGTGTGTGTAAAATGCACACACACATTTCCATGCAAGAATGTATTTCTGTTATGGACGACTGCGCTGCTCCTGGCGTCTTCTGCAAATATATTTAGGAAGTACTCATTGTGTAAAATACCAAACAATATCTGATGGGATGAAAGAGATTGCTGGCACTTTTGAGCTTCCTCGAGGAAAATATCCTAACGAGGTGATAAAAATAGAAGTGTGAACACAGATGTGGCCCAAAAAAAGGAGAAACTTTTTTAAAAAAACAAACAAACAGCCCACCAAATTCAGTCACAAACTCTTCTGGAACAGATCCAGTGGTATGTAGAATGAAAAGCTGCCCATATTACAAGCAGCAAAAGAAATATTATTATTCAACACAAATTATTTTAAAGAAAGCAGGATAAAAGAATGTAATATGTACAGTTAATTACGCTGGGTGAAATAATGGAGACACAAGTTAAAATACCTTTAGTTGAAGGTAGGGATGGCTGAATCTCAGTTTCTCTCAGTTTCTCAATTCTCCAGTCTTAACTTCAGTTCTCCACATTTCCACATCAGTTTACAATTATCATTATTTTTACAAGTCACCATGAAAAGTCATCAGCATTTTAGTGTGAATTTCTCCTAGTATATAAATTTATGTACACCATTTCCCACAATATAATGCATTTTATGTTATTTTCTCTAATATGCATTTTTACGTAAACTTTATCCTAATGTGTGCAATTTTGTACACATTACTTTTGCTGGCAAACTACATTGCAAAATTCGTAGACGTGCAAATATCAAAGGATGTCAGAAAATGGTGCAACATTTGCAGCCAAGGACAGGATCCACGGAAGCTCTCCTTCATTCACGAAAGCCCTTGGTCACCTGCTAACACCCCTCTCTCCATCCAGGCAAGCAAAAGGTGTTA